ACAATTTGTACCCACACCACTGCTTTCAAACGGGAGCGAAGAGAGGTTTTAACTAATGACGGAGGAATTTTTACAACGTTGTTAAGAAAGGGGCACTGTTTGCCACGGTTCGACAATGCAGCAGACATGTTTCCTTGTCAAATGTTTTCTCTCCTGCCAAATCATTTCTTAACTACATCCTTACTAACTTTTCGGCTCTTTGTTTTCGAAATAAAGTATTTTTATCTTATTTATTTCTTATTTAATTCTTAACAAGAAATTAAATTTTTAAGTGTTATACATAAAAAAAACAGACTACAAACTGATTTTGTTTAAAATTATTTATTAAACTGAATAAAATGTTACGAAGTTCTGAAAAAGGATTTGCTTCTAAAAAATCACAAATAGGTACCTTCACAAAAGTTAACAAAAGCCTATCTCTAAAATTCAAAGCAACAAATTTACTAAAAATCAAGCTTTGGTAGTAGAAATCAAATCCACAAAAAATGTTAAAAAATGTTTGGTTATTACTTTTTGCAGCTTCATCATAATGTTACATGTAGGTACATACAGTTGGAGACAAAATACTTTGGTCGTCAATGTCCCTTGAGTGGCATTAAATTGTAAAGCATGCTTTAGGACTGTTAACCTTATTTTTAGCTACTGTCAATCATAGTTGACAAGTTTTTGATAGGAAAATATAATAGCTGTCATTAATTTAAAATTATCATTCATTTTGACGTTAAAGCTTGAATTACATTGAAGTGTCAGAAAAGTGACGACCAAAGTATTTTGTCTCCAACTGTACATACAGGTGCGCCAGAACTCGCACCCCAGAGAAAATTTTCAAGTAAGCTAAGATGTCAGGAACATGAAAAAAATGTTTAAAAAATTCTATTTTTTGACATTTGACATTTTTTTATATCTATTCCTAATGATACTGTTGCTCTTGTATATGTTTTTTTACAATTATTTAGTAAAGGTACACAAATTTTGCCAAAAAAAGCTACAAATAACATTGAACAGAGTTACAATTTAGGATACATCTTCCTTGTTTCCTCTTCTAATAGCATGTAGCATCACAAAAACTTGGAAAAAGATAGAATTTTTTTAACATTTTTTCCATGTTCCTGGTATCTTACTTTACTTGGCATTTTTTTCTGGGGCGCGAGTTCTGGCGCACCTGTATCTACTACTAAGAACTTACTATTTTTATTACATTATTGTATTATTGTAATAATTTTAAGTATTTTTAAAATTTTGATTTATGTGTTAAAAATTGTTGCATCAAACCATAAAACATATACAGAATAGCTAGAACTCCCGACCTCGAAAAAAATGCCAAGTAAGGTCAGCTACCAGGAACATGGAAAAAATGTTTATCTATAAAAATTTTGAAGTTATGAGAGTTTATATCTTGCACTTTGACTCTATTTATTTCTGTTTGAAAAATAATTTTCCAAGTTTTTTTGCTATTAGGCTATTAGGAGAGGAAACAAGAAAGCTGTTTTAAATTGTAACTCTGTTTAATGTTATTTGACTTATTTGTGGCTTTTATTAGCAAAATTTTTGTACCTTCACTAAATAATTATAAAAAACATGTACAAGATTATCAGTATCATTAAATAAGCATAAAGAAATGTTATATGTTAAAAAATAAATGTCAAAATTTCTTAAACATTTTTTCCATGTTTCTGGTATCTTATCTTACTTGAAATTTTTCTCTGGGGCGCGAGTTATAACACAACCTGTAAGTATTAATTAATATCTATTAGTTGAGTGTAACTTATTTTAATAAAAAAAAGACATGGATAACGTTTAAATACCGTATTTACGTATTTTTATAACATAAATGTCTTTTGTTATTGTCATTAATGTAGTATTTTTATTAAATTGTAATTTTTTTACACTAGTAAAGAAGGTCATGTCTATCACTTGATGAAGATAATAATACTTATAAGCCGTACGTGATCTTCTTTGCGTAGTTTATAAGATTGAAGGTCGATTTAAAAAATCAGTTTGAATAGTCAGCATTCTATAATAGTATATTATGTACCTAACTAGTGCTACTTAGATATGAGTTTTATTATAGGCAGGAGCGAAGCGAATGTTTAGTAAAACGAATGTCTAGAAAAGTTTATACACGTGTTACATACTATACTTTTTCTACGACCACCACAAAAAATTACTTAAATTAAAAATTAAATTAAATGACAGAAAGCTAACTGCAGCCCGTGACTAATACGTCAGTTGCTATTAGAAACGTAACTAATATACATATTAGTCACGGCTTGTCAATAAAAATAAAAATGTATATAAAAAGTCACTTATCGCGTCATAGAAACCTATACGATAATCCGTCTTTTAGATGTGGGGGTAGAAAAAACATTTAAACCTTTTGGAAAAATTCAAAGAATTAGTGGCAAAAATGTTAGGGGTTAGAAACACAAAGTCTTACTCTTGAAATTAAAAGGTTGATGGACAGTGAATTTCGTTCACCCAATTTCTGTGAATTCACAAAAATTCACTGTAGTCTGTGCGTTTAATAAAATAAAAATTATCTCTCTGTCTCAAAGACGTGCCTCTACTTTGGGCAAACCAAGGACTACCATTTCAAAGGACAAAGGTAAAAAATAGCAAGGAGCATTATGTCAACATGACAAACGTTAATCAAAATTCGGAAACAAGGTTACAAAAACCTAAAGACTAATTTACACTTTTAATCTGTTAGGGAAATTGGGTGGACGAAATTCACTGTCCATCACTGTACTAGCACTTTTGGAAAAGTTTTTCTATCTTCAGGTGCAAAATTTAGGTTTTTTTGCACCTGAAGATGAAAAAGTTTTTCCGAAAGCGCTAGTACGTTTAATTTGAAAGGAAAGACTTTGTGTTCACCAATTCACAACCCTTTTAATTAATTAGCTTGCCGTTTATAGTATCAAGATGTTAATTCAATATGCCATCCATTCTTTCATTTTTATTTCTGTAATTGGTTGTAAATGTGTACTTATTTGTGTTAAAAAAATTTTCTTTAGCAAAAATTCTGCACGTGGGTATTTAACTAAAGTGATTAGTAAGGAGTGGAATGTTTATAGGATTGGGATGGTACATAGGCGCACGTTAGCAAAAATCGGCCGATACAGTGAGCGTTTTAATTTAGAAAACTACGCCACTGCGTTTACTACAGCGGACCAGCTATGGATAAGTAATGAACTTTGCGACCGGGCATTGTCGACTCAACTGGTTGACAGTACCTGTTTTTTTCATCCCGTTAAAAGTCCGACTGTACTGATAATTTAAGCAAAATTGTAAATTGCAACCTCGATGCACTTTTTTATTTCATCATTGTGATAATGCATGGTAAATAAAATTCGATTCCAAAGCAACTGAAAATATCTTGGTCTCTCATTTTTGCATTATCTTTGTGGAGATAACGATAACACGAGAAGGCCAAGGCTATGTTTTGGTAGATTTCGTGTTAACATATATCGTTATCTGGCAGTTTGCACAGTGAAAGAATGAGACCTATCATCTATGAGATGAGAGTATTGTCCTGGCCATCATGTCCTTGACCGTAGTCTGCTTGTGCCAACGGCCGTAAGAGGCGCTAGAAAAAGTTGCTTGAATTCGCCACCGCTCAGCATTCCGATGGACATTCACCTAACACTCCGGTCTTCCCTTCTTGGCCAAAATGACACGCGGCCTACGAAGGGCGGTCAATGAATCCGTTCAACGGACCGCAGTTCAGCGCTCAAAAATCCTCAAGTGCATAAACAGTTATGCCAACCGTCATTACGCGCACTCAGCCTACACCGAGTTAGATTTTCCTTGGCCAGTGAAAGTAGATGAAAGTGATACGAAATCGCTTTTTTCATAACATTTTTTGTTCTGTACTTCGTTTCAAAAACAATGGTAGAAAACAAATATTGAATTTTGTTTTTTGTGAGCGGCGTAGGAAGAGTTTAGCGTCTGCAGTGTGGAACGAGGTCAATCGCCGCCGTCGGGTCAGGCCGCTGACCTTGGAGGGAGGGTGGCGTCGCTAACGGTGATGTTTCCCCCATTCGAAAAGGGAGACGCCGACGCTATCGATCATCAAGAAACCCCAGCTCACTATATATAAAACAGAACAACCCCTCATTCTGTCTGCTTGCTTCCTATTTTATTTCAGTTTATGTATAAAATTTTACTAATTTAGATTCAAACTGCCGAAACGACTTTTCGCCCGAAAGGTGCGTTTCGGTGCGCACACGCAAAATTAAAGTTCAAGGGTATTGTGCAGGTCAAGGACCATGAATCTACGCCGCACCATATGTGCCTCACTTTAGACAATTTAAATTTATTGAACAAAACGCTGAAGTTGAAATTAAACCGCCAAACCCATGATTATCAAAAATATTAATAGGAATACACAAAATTAAATATACTCAACTTCTATTTACCTGCTAATTTATTAATAAATAATAAGATAAAAAAGGCATTGAGTAGCCGGATTAACCAGACTTTGTAAAAAAGTGTGCCAAAACAATTTTTTAAACATATTAAGTTACAATACATATTATTTGGATGAGGAAAAACGGTTTCGAAGGGACGAGCGTTTTGAGGCAGCATCTACAATAACTCACTTTTCACTTTTTTAATGCTTACAAAAAAATACATTGTTTAGTTGTTTTACACACAAAACCGCAATGAATAACAAAAAATTTTGTTAACAATAAAATTTAGAAAATTTAACTCTGGTGCTGCCATCTATCACAATTATTTGCTACTTTGTTAAAATAGAAATCAGCATTTTAAATAACTTTGAAATAATTTGTTTACCAAAATAGTAAACAACAATGTGTTGTTGTATTAAAATTACACATCAGTTAAAATTAAGATGAATAAATTGCTTTATTTTCAAAAATTTAAATTATTTTTAAACGTAGGACTTCTCTTCTAGTAGATGTCGCGTGTGTCGCATTTTGCAGTTGCCTTATTTGGCGTGACGGTTGGCAACACGCTGGCAATTCCGACATTATCGGCCGAACTTTTTTCCGCCATATTGAGAAATTGTGGAAAACATTGTGAGCACGTGGAAAGTGATCATCACAATTTCTGCAGTTTTCAATAAAATTCATTAAACTCATTGCTAAAACTACGATTCTTATCAAATCTTGAAGTGTTTTCTTTGATTTACCGCCAGGAACAACATATAATTCAACGTGAGTAAATGCTTTTCATTTGATTAATTTGTAGACGTAGAGTGTGGCCGGCTTTCAATATTTTGCAGTTTTTACAGAACTGTAAGGATTTGTCAAGAGAATTTGAAATGAAACGAGTAATAACTCAGTATTCTTACTATGAATTGCAGGATTTGGCGGAAATTTAAATGGTTTGGTGTTGTTTTTATTTACGTGATGTGTGTTAATGCGTTGCGTGTAATTATTATTAGCATGAAATAACGTCCCTTTCAGTACGGGGGCAGAATTCGGAATTAACGGAAAAGTTTCTGGCATCGAATGCCGGAAATGATAAACAACAAAAGTAGAAATTCTTATTTTAGGTCAGTCAGTTTTTTTTTTAAGTGGGGTGACCTCAACAAGATCGCCAGTCACGAAACATTTAGATGTGGGGGTAGAGAAATGGAGTACAGGAAGAGATCAAACTGGTATTAAAATGTCAAATGCTGAATTAAAATATTAAGAGAATTTCTGACATTGCTTCTAGTAAATCTTTAAACGTGGTTCCAAATCACTGAAGAAGAACCAATTTATGTGGTGCATTGACTTGAAAATCCACTTTTTATAAACAAGACGGACTGAAAAAATCAAGCGTTTAAATATTCATCAAAAGCATGGAATGAGACATAAGAAACGCTCATTTGAAAAATAATTAATTTCAATCACCGGTTGATTAAAATCCATTGTTTCTGCATCATTTCATTATAATTTATAAAACATCAGCGATAAATCTGCAAGAAATTGCATCGAACTTTCATTTTAATTACAATTTTTCCAAACTAAGCCATTTCACCCTGTCCAACGTGACATAATTTAGTGAAACTAGATTTTTTTTGCTCGATTGAGAAACGTGTTGCTCCGTTACGCCTAAAAGAAGAAAGTAAAACAAGTCCATTGGTTTTTTTCCTTGTATTCAGGAATAAAAAATGCAGTTCTTGTTATGCGGGCTGAAATGTCGATCACGGTCATTCAACCGAGCCTTTTTCTTACAAACGCCACAAGGGCGGATAACTGCAAATTACACAAAAATGTACCACCCCTGAAACGATTTCCCGCCGGGGATTTTTCAGGGTTCATTCGGCCTTCATCCTAGGACGCGCATGCGTTTATTAAACCGAATGAAGTGAAGGCAATAGCCACGTGGTAACGTTAACCGGTGAGGAATTGTAGCTCGTGTGATTGTGTTCAATATTGCGAACGGCCACGTTTCTCAAGTGTTAGGCTTTGTGCAAAAAGATAAAATAAAAATTTGCGAGAAATTTGGAGCTTAAATTATCAGAATGGTAAGATTATGATATTTGTTCAAAAATATTTTTTAACATTGTAACATATTTTTGTTGCCATTGAATTATACTCATCATTTGTTTGGTTTTGAGGGATGCAAATCTCTAAATAATTTTTGAAAATAATTTTTGTAATTTTTTAACGAAACAGGCGATTTTGAATTAGCAATTAACTCGACGACCTTAACATTAGTTTTCAGACATTCTTTCTCGAGTAAAATTGATATTATTACCTTGTTTCTGGTCCCGTACTACTTTCCATTTCGTAATAAATTATTTGACATTTTGCAATCGGTGGTTTAGCAGAAGTGGCATAGGCCAGTTAAATTATGCAAATTTTTGTGTTCAATTAAACGAAAATAGTAGAATATACAAGATGTAAGCACCTAGGGGATAATGTTTATTAATTATGAAAAAAAGTAAACAGAATAAACGTTTTTAGATAGATTTCAACGAACTAAATAAGTTGTCGATTTCTCCAGTGGTATTTCACGTTGCCAAATTATTTTTCTTTAAGAAATTTGGGATAGCACACTTTAATTATTTTGATTTAATGGTGATTTGGTTGCGACAGTTTTTTATAATATTACGTCATGGACAAGGCTTAACATTCGAGAATAATAATAAAAAATCTATAGCAGTACTGTTAAATTAATGAAAATATTATTTACGCCCTATATTTTACCATTAATTTCAATGTCACCTGTAACCGGAACCACTTCCGGTTGTCTCTATGCAATTTTAAATCGAACTTTTTACTCTTACATTTTATATATTTTAATTATTTAAAAATGTAGTTATTGTCGTTGTGAATAACTTTATCATGCAAAAGTTTATATTTAACTATAGGCATATACGAGTATTTAAAGAGCTTTCAAGCCGATAAAAACGACTTTTATGTAAAAAAAAATATTTTTTTTATTTTGATTGCATACTTATGTCGCACGTTTATTGCAAACATTTTTTTTTAACAGAGGATTTAGCCCAAAATTAACGAAAGATTGCTTGATTTTTTATGAAAGGTTAGTTATGACAAACAAAGATTTGGTTCCATTTTCTAATAAAGATTTCATTCCGGATCTGCATGCTTTAAATTTTGATTGGGGACGAGTGTATTACATGAGAGATTGTTGCAGAACCGTTTGTTTGGTGAAGGGGTCAATCGTGGATCGATCAAGATATGGCCCCGTCCCATACGCGCCAAGTGCTGATTTGGAGTATCCCCGCACTCGCCGTCATATTCAGTTATTTCTGGTACAGACGGAAGAGACACGAGTCGAAAACTGACCCCGGTGATAAAATACAAACTGCTTCCGAATCGCAACAACCGACAAAAACAGAAATCGAAAGTGTCACAACAAACCGGACATTTTCTCGTTCATTGTCAGGTGTCGATTCCGCCCCCATCGATATTGTTATCCCGCCCAAACTTAAAGCTATCAAATCAAATCCTGTTGTTATTTCTGACGAAGATTTAGATTTAGAAATTGAAAAAATTAAATCCATGAGATACGGCGGTTCGATTGATATGAGAAAATCAAATAGTTCCAGTGAATCATCGTCCACTAATAAACAGACGCCGGTTAAGAAATCATCGTTCGTGATGGCACAGAAAGCCAACGAGGAAAAACCGCTCTCAGTCACGACGGAAAATGCTAAAGTCGATAAGATGATCTCAAATAATAATGAAGTGCAAAGGCAAAACAGCGAAAGGGATTCGGCGAATCATAGTCCAGCGGATGTTATGCTTGCCAGTCCGTCCCTTAGCAGCATCTCTGATAATCACAGCGAGGTAAGCGAAAAGGAAACCGAAAATCTTATTTATGTGCACATTTTAAAACCATATTTGTTATGTAGATCGTCCTTCGAAGTCAATGACAAGGTTGTCATGCAATTTGATAAGAAAAATATTTGTGGAAACGGCGAACTATGCATTTTAACATGTTTGTAGTTTCTATCGTTTTGTACTATAAACATCAAAACCTGTATTATACAGTGCGATCAAAAAGTCTTTCTATCAAGTAGGCCTCTTAGTTATCTAGATGTCAAAAAATTATTTTATAAAAATTACAACACAGCTAATTAAATTGAATTATTCTATGAAACGTTTCAAAATATCCTAAAATGAGATTTTGTTGGTGTTTATTCATAAAAATCGTTCACCACGGTTTCCTGTTATAATTTACATAAAAATTATTTTGACATTTCTCATTTGTCATTGTGACATTTTATCTTCTACAGACATACGTTTTAAATTTCTACGCTTGCTTGATAGACTTTTTGATCTCACTCTACAACATTCTCTGTGCATACAACACAGTTAAATAGCTCATGTGCTTAAGTTACAATTAGATCAATAAAATTATGAAAAAATTATCCACTTATAAGATTAAAGGTGTCTGTTCAATGGCTGTCAAGACTTGAATAAGTCCCTATGTCGTTTCTTTGTTCAAAAAAAAAATCAACATTAATTTTTGCTATTATCTTGTTAAGTATTGACCTCAATATATCGAAAAAAATTAGTCTAGTTTTAGATTAGATCGTTATTATAAACCGTAGATTATTATTTTTATGTTATCATATTTATTTTAAAAAATAAGATACTTGTAATTACATCATTATATTGAATAATATTCAATTTAATTTTGAGTACTAATTTTTATATTTACGTCATATTCATAAAACTAATACATATTTATTCGGTATGAGTGTAATAAGATTTAGTCCGAATGAAGAACGAGATTTTTTAATTACTCTTTGACCTTGACTTAACTAGATGCAGATTCATGCAATAAGTAGCTTTTCTTAGATTTGTTAACGTAAAGCTTTAAATTCATATAGAGCCAAATAAAACAAGTACATGAAAATAATTCGGTTGCTGTGAGATAACAAAGATAAGAAGTTCATAAAATTTTATTGACTTAATTTTAGTCACACAGCCTTTTGTTTAAAGTCATTTTATTGTTGTTATTTTCAAAGGTCATAAAATTGTAACAGTGAAAATTGATTTTGTGTTGAGTACAATTTTGTGTTTCAACAAAATAATCGAACAATCAGCTGTGAATTTCAATCACACATAATCAGATAAAAACATTAAGGTATTAATGCATCGATAAAATACCGATTTATCGATAAACTGTGAAAACAATAGAAAATTCGTGCAACAATATTTTTAGACTGGTTGCCATATCCTGTTTTCAACTATGTTTTAATGAAATTTTGATTAAAAATCGACTAGATAAATGAAGGTGTATTTTGATTGTTTTGTACATTTCTATGTTTTCACATACCAGGTGAATAAAAAGTATGGAACCAAGCATTTTTTTCGTAAACTAAGCACTTTACAAAAAAAATAATTAGTGTAGTGTAAAGTCCAATTAAAATGTGACCATTTATCAAGAATAACATTTTTCGAAATTTCTTTTAGTTTTTGAGTTCTGGAAAAAAATTTTTTTTTTAAATGGCAACCCACTATGGTAATTTTTTTAATTAAAGATTATGATCTAAAAATGACCTCTAATTAAACAGAATTGTTTTCTAGTCAGTACTTTTTTTTAATAAATTGTTAAAGTTGCGTTCCGAGCCCATCACGAAAATTTTCCGAACTTGAACGAAGGAGTCGTTTCATGACTTCGGTCGTTGGAGAGCCCGGTTTTTGGTGCAGGTGCTTTGAGGTGGTTCCGGATGGATCAAAAAATGTAAAAACAAATCATTTTCTTCTATTTTTAGTCCATTCGAAACCACCCCAAAGCACCTGCATAGAAATCAGCGCTCTCCCATGATGAAAAGTATGAAACAACCACTTCGGTTAAGTTCGGAAAATCTTCGTGATGAGCTCGGAACGCAACTTTAACAATTAATTAAAAAAAAGTACTGGCTAAAAACAATTTTATTTAATTAGAGGTCATTTTTAGATCATAATCTTTAATTAAAAAAATTACCATGGTGGGTTGCCATTAAAAAAAAAAATTTTTCCAGAACTCGAAAACTAAAAGAAATTTCGAAAAATTCGAAAAATGTTATTCTTGATAAATGGTCACATTTTAATTGGACTTTACGCTACACTAATTATTTTTTTCGTAAAGTGCTTAGTTTACGAAAAAAACGATTGGTTCCATATTTTTTATTCACCTGGTATGTATAATGAAATTTTCTCGGTACCTGTAGTGTTTGTTTGCATACGAGTTTAATGCACGAAGTTAAAGATTGTCATTGGAGAAAATAATGTATGAATAATTTCTGCAAATTTTGTTTCACACAGACTGTAACCCTGTATTAAACATTCTATAATGGTTAAAGTATGGTTTTACTTATAATGAGAATATTTCTCTTCGTTATGTAGCACCTGGTAATTAAAAAAACGATACACAAATTACTAATTTTGTTAGTCTGTACAACAAACATGATTTTAAAATGTGCAGTTAAATAAAACTTGCTTAAATGTAATTATATTGAAAGTAAGTAAATGCTCTGCCTGTTTGTCTTGTTGAGCCTTTCATGTGTTTTATGCTCGTGAACAGGGCTCAAACGATAGTGGTAAGGGAGGCAGCGAAGTGGTGACACCTCCACCGTCCCGATCTTTGGTCAACGAGAGTACGACTTTAAACATTTACGAGTTCATCATTCCACAATCGTTGGTTGGTAAACTAATAGGCAAACATGGCAGTTCCGTTGCTAACATCAAAGATAAGACCGGTGCCCAAGTATTGGTCAGAAAACATCCAACAAATAATAAATTAAAAGTGTGTTCGCTCGAAGGCACTCGTAACGAGATCGACAGTGCTTTGAAACTCATAAGAGATAAATTCCCCTTGAAACGTTTCCCGGAAGTCACCCTTGAACAAGTCTCATTTCTTCCAGAAGTGCCGACAGTATCGCTAGTTCCGGATCACTTACATGTAACTAAAAAAAAATTGAAATAAAACGACCGAGTTTAATTATTATTTTTAGTTGAAACTGATCGAGGGTATTAATAATGATACAATTGTTAGTTGTGTTGTTGCACCAAATCATTTGTTCTTACAACAACCAGCACATCCGTCGTTTCCAAATCTTAATATTCTTACCGGTTATATGAACGTTTGTTACTCGGAGGCTGATTCGCCATTGTTACCAACGCCTGTTCCAGGTATTTGAGCATTTTTTGCTATTGGTGGAAATGTAATTTTTTGTTTTAGAAAATACAATCTGTGCTGCATTTTCCGAAGATAGTTGGTACAGAGCAGTCGTTTTGTCGACAGATTCAGAAAATGCAACTGCTTATGTTAAATTCTTAGATTTTGGCGGTTATTCATACATCGAAATTTCTAAGTTGAGACAAATCCGAGGTGATTTTATGTCATTACCGTTTCAAGCGGCGGAATGTTTCTTAGCGAACATTAAACCGGTCGAAGGTACTTTTCCTCTCATTAGCATAATGATTCGTTAATTTTTTTGTTTCGCAGAGACGGGTTGGCGCGATGAAGCGTTCAATGCAGTAGTAGAAATGACAAAAGGGGCTATCATCTATACCCAAATAGTCGATTATACTGAAGAAGGTATTCCTTTGGTTTATTGCTATTTAATTTTAGGCCCAAGGGTAGGTACAGCTATAAATATTGAATTTACTGTTTACATCTGTTTATTTTCAGCAAGTAGTATTTTTAAATCAGGAATTAGTGAATCAAGGACACGCCGAATGGCTCAATTGCGGGGAGGAAGCCGCAGGTGTTACCGTGGCGTAATATGTAAAGTAATTTTTTGTTATATAGTCACTTGATTGGATCAAGCTTTTGTTGAACGTGAATATTATGTAGTGTAGTTAGCTGATTTTTGCAAAAAGCGTGTTTTTATGAATGATATTGTTGGAGACCATTTTTACATAACTTAGGTTGTTGCTTTATACCAGTTTTTGAAAACGAATAGGGTTCATTCGTTTCGTACGTTTATAAGAACTTGTTTATTTTATTTTTTAAATTATTGTGATGTTTATATTTTATTGACTGCTCTATTTTCAGTACTAACCATAATTATTGTTTGTGCTCAATTACTAATTTAAATTTAGTGTATTACGCTATCGTTTACGTGGTAGTTCGTAATGTCATTTACTGTATATAAAGAATTGTATTTTTTGATAATATTAATCTAGCTTTTGTGTATATTTTTGGGGAGCAACTAGGTGACTGTAGGATGATCAATCCATTTATCTTGTATACATGTTCCTATTATTATTATTGTTTTCTACCAGGTTTTGGTGTTTCCAATTTATTTTAAAAACGAACTGGATTTTTCTTTAATTTGCACTGTTGTATGGGCAAACGAATTCATATTATTTTCTAAGGATTGATAATTCTTTTTTATAGTTTCGTATTTATAAAACATTTGTACATAGTATCTCTTGTACTTTTTTTCTTTTTTGGAAGTAAAATTTAACAAATTTTTTCAACGTGACAATTTATTTTTATTTCGAGGGTAAAAAAGACAATTAAAACGATACATACCATTTATTATAAATATATTGTTTAGTAAAATTTAACAGTAGCAACCCGTCGCAATATAGCAGGAATGTCGCCAAAATTTAACAAATTTAGGCATCTTGGCAATTTTTAAATTAATTTTACAACAATTACACCTAACAAAACGTTTTATTAACTCCATACGTCGGCGGAATAACGTTTCTGCGTTTCCATTTTTTTCAAATATGCTGATGCTTGTTGCTCGGTCATCTGACCTTTGTCTTGAATAATTTTCATGACGATATTACGCACTTCCGGTGCCATTGATTTAGCGTCCCTAAAAATACATACATTAAAATCTTTCCAAAGCCGCCAAATTTGAAACTTACCCGCAAATATACAAATGACCGTTATTCTCCCCGATAATTCTCCAAACCTCCTCGGAATTCTTCTGTAATAAATGCGAAACATAAACTTTATGCGCTTGGTCCCGTGAAAATGCCAAATGGAGCGTCAACAAGCCGCTCTTCTCGTAATTGAGCAACTCTTCTTCATAAATAAAATCTTCAGCCTTCTTGCGACACCCGAAGTAGAGAACAGTTTCACCGACCACTTTGCCTTCCTCCTTTGCTTGGTGGCGTTCCTGGATGAACCCACGGAACGGTGCCAGACCTGTACCAGGCCCGATCATAATGACCGGAGTTTGCGTTTTGGTGGGGAGTCTGAATTGGGATTTGCGGATGAAAATCGGGGCGGTTGGGGCCTCCTGGCCAGGGGCAGGCTTCTTGAGAGCCAACCAAGTGGTACAAACGCCCTTATTGTGGCGCCCTGTGGGAGTCTTATACTCAACTACGACGGCAGTAATGTGGACTGTGTTAGGGAAGAGTTTCGGGGATGAGGAAATTGAGTAATACCGGGGTTGGAGGCGGGGAAAGAGTTCACAAAGATGGTCAAGTTTGGGTTTACACGACGGCATGTCTTCGAGGATGTGGACGATGTTGCGATTGTCTTCGTTGACCCATTGTTGGTACAAGGCTTTGCCCTCTGGAGAGGTGCTTGCCATGGTTTTCAGCTTTTCTTTCTCAGCAGGGTCGGTGCAATATTCCGATAGTTCCTTCAAGACGTGGGTACGGGGGTTCATGGTGATGTCCAAGTAGTGGGTCAATGCAGTCCTGTAGGTTGTAGGGCAAGGGAATGGGTGTTTTTTGCTGGACTCCTCGTCGGTGTTAATGAGAGTGAAAATCGTGTCCAGGTCCGTATTTGTCAAGTTACCGATTTTTTCGACTAATTCGGAGTCATTAATTGGGTAAACAGCAACGTGGTCCCCGGCATCGTACCGCATTTTCGACCCTTCGATATCAAACTCGATGTGCATGCACGACCTGTCATTGCCCTTGTGAAGTTCACGATTGACCAAAATTTTCGCCAAAAATGGATTTTTCGCGTCAAAGGGCGGCCTTTGGTTTTTAAGCGAGTGGAGTCTTGCCATTTCACCGGTGTAAAGCTTCTCCGGGACTTCGTCTTTGAACTCCTGAAGTCTGTATTGACGCATACTGACGTCCTCTCCCGTCGATTCGATCCCGAAGTGTTCGCAAACGGCTGGCCAGAACTTGTCTTTCCACGTAATAAAGTCATCTTCAATGCTACACGAGAGTTAGTAACGAGTTGAATACAATATTTTTTGGCTTACTTGGCATCGTCGTCGCCTAAACCGAGGTCAAATACTCGCGTGGCTCCCAACTCTTCTAATCTTTTGTCAACATAAATGGCGACTTGATTGTAGTGTTCGTAGGTTTTGTTTCCCAAGCCGAATACCTGCAATTATCAATTTAGCAACTCCACGTGGCGGCCAAGGTCACTTACAGCATAATTGAGGCCTGACAAATCAGCGTCGCCGTTTTGTAACCACTCATAGAACTCCATAGCGTTGTCAGTGGGGTCACCTTCGCCGTATGTTGCTAAACAAAACACAGCCAAACTGTTGGGAATCGATTTCAAATTCACTAATTCCTCCATATCGCACTCTTCCGGGTCCGCTACCATCCCCTTCATCCTGTATCTAACACCCTCTTTGGCCAATCTTCCGGCGAATTCTTCGCCAGTTCCGGTTTGGCTTCCATAGAACACCACCAAGCTGCGTCCCGAAGTCTTGAGTTTCTTGATAAACGAACTGTCAGAGCTTGTTTGCAGGGTCATGGACGTGGGTCTGCGATTTCGCAATTAGAACAAATCTACAGTTTTATTTAAATGACTTACTGGATGGAGTATGAACGTGCTGTGGCGGCTACATCTTTTTTCTTTTGTTTGTTTAAGAACCACCACGCAACACCACCTATTAACAGTGTCAACAGGATGATATCAATTGTGCTAAAAAGGGATTCGGATGCTTCGGGGATTTGTTGAGTGCCGAGACTTGCTTCTGCTTCGTCCATTTTTAATATCTAGAAAAAAATCCAAATTAAAGACGCAATGCCTTCGTTTTGTATCGATAAAATCACTTTGACTTATTAGCAAATGGAATGACATGTAAGAACAGATAATGACGAACTTTGAACGACGAGAATAATAAGTGCGATAAGAGTTTGGTTTTGTCGGATCATTCTGAATTTCACTTTTGATCAGACGAAAGTGAAAAGGATGATGCTGCGCTTTGCAACAATGGAGCTTCCGATATTATTACTTATTGTTTTTTTTTAAAGAAATGAATGACCATCAATAAATCATGAATTGGAAAAAAAATCGCATTGTAATAATAACAAAACGCGACTTAATCGCAAAGTTAACAATTAGTACTCACCGAAATAACTAAAACACTAACTAATTTGAAATTATCGCACATATTTTTTTTATCCATTTTGTCGAACAATTATAAAACGTAAAGCAGTCAAAGCACTTTTAGAAGTGGACGGTTTCGTACACCGTTCAACGTTAAATAGCGAAATGCAGTAATGTTTTTGTGACGTCACGGCAAGGAATTACATTAAAATGATTCTAGAGAAAATTCATAATAACATTTATTTGCATATTTTGTGATTGGCAAAATTTGTTATCATGACTTCCTAAATTATCGGTCACAAACAAAATTTAAGCTTTAAATAATTACTTGTCATTACACAACCCCGGATTTAATTTGATAAAAATTATATTTTTGTAAAAAAGAAAGTAAAAAATAGAAACTGAATTTTTCACGAACTATTTATTATTATTGTCATCATCAAGTACAATTCCACGAAATTCTCATCTGTCAATTAAATGTGAAAACTTAACTTATAGATAAAGGAGAACGCACATTTTATATGAGTTTCTAAAGACCACTCAAATGTGGATATTTTTAAACCAATCGACGCGTCTTCAGATAAGAAATTATTGTTACCATTACGCCAAAACGCTAATTTATTTGTAAAACAAAATTAAAATGCTGCCATTTACTTTGCTTTAGTTGGAAAGAGAGAGGTAGATCTCGCTTTAAGGTGGTCTAAGGCAAAGTAAATGGCAGCATTTTAAATTTAATACAAATCACCCCTTTACTTATAAAGTTAGCGTTTTTGCGCAATGTTAACAATAATTTCTGATCTGAAGACGCGTCGATTGATGTAAAAATATCCACATTTGAGTGGTCTTTAGAAACCCATATAAAGTGTAAGTAAACGAATTATTAATTAAAAAAAAATATAAATATACAATTATTAAAGCATAAAACCAGCCAAATTAACTTTGATAATGCCAGGATTTACTTAAAATCTAACGATTAAGTTATTGAAAAAAAGAGTTTACAGGTGGTTTTTTTTCCAGTATGAGTTTGTTTTATAATTTCAGAACATTATTACGGATAGTTTTAGTTGAAATTATTTATTACCCATTTAGAATTACATAAAATTACAATAGCAATTAAAACTGACTTATGAGAATTACCGTTGTTGGGCCAACCAGAGTCCATTTCCGTCATTCGGGTGATTGAGAACGTGGAATTATGCTTTGCATTGGGTCTATTGAATAAATGTCCAATTTTAGGACACATTCGTTTTACTAATTTTGTCTTTAATATTGCTCTACTTTCCCAACATTAAATTTTTTGGTCCAAGTTGTTTAAACAAACTAATCTCAAACGTGATGATTTCATTTCATATTTAATTAAACCGATAAAACTTAATGACCTTTTCAACATTTTCATTGCAAAAATTAAGATAATGTAGACATCTGAATAGGTTTGTCAGTATTTTTTACATATTTACCAACCAATGTTAAAAAATCAAGGAAAGAACATGACAAACTCCACTTTGTTTCATTTACTTCTAGTATTAATACCCAATCGTGTTTTATTTTAATTGATAGTAATTATGTTATTACGTTTGCAGATTTATTTTTTTATTTATTACTCGAGACAGAAAATGAGCGTCATTATATTAATCTTCGCGTGGACATTCATTCTGACCTTGACTTAAAAACACAATATGTAATTAATAACTAGTAATATATAATTTTTATTTTTCAAATGCCTTGACAAAAACTCAAATTTATATGTACATACCCACCAAGTTGGTGTACGTGACTTGAAAACAACGTCTAAATGTTAATTACGAATCACCTATAAATATGAATTCATACAGTGACGTTGAAATTGGAATAAATCGGAATTAATTGACGACGAATGGAGAGCATAAGGGGCAGGTTTGGGTCATTAGACTGAATTTTCCCCTTAAATTTAAATTTGCCGCGCAAACTGGCTTATTAGTGCAGTCCATGTAATTATTATTCATTACCTCAGTACCTGACTGCTATTGATACCCCAGAAATTGACGAAGAACCTCTTGGTCACAAAAACCTACACTGAAATTGTTACACTTGTTGCGAAATGGGGGCGTAACACTTAAATTTTTTCGTTAATTTTATTAAAACAGTGAACGTAAATTACAATTAATTGGAAACACTGGGTATAAAGTTACTACGTCAAAGGCTCGGACGCAACAAAATTTATCTGATCATTCTCATCAAGGTACGAGAAATGGGCAAAATGAACGCAAGGCTGTTTTGGTGATTACATACTTTCGGCAAGGTCAAGCGTGGCGTATAACTGGTTGCTTATACAACAAACATTGAGACTTTTTTAGAAGAAAAACCTGTTTATTTTTAATTTTTTGTACACTTAATTACATTATTACAACCACTATTTCGATTATTACCCTTCTTCTTTTTTTCGACGCCTACAAAGTGTTAGAGTTAGTTAAAAAAAATACACAGACATATCATACATATTAATTCAGTTCCAATTTTTTTGCTATTGTTGTTGATATTTTCCATTCCGATTATGTTAATGTGCCGTTCAAAGCTCAAAGCTGCAGCCCTGATAAACAAGTTGTCAATATTTTCGCCAGTTTTAGATGAGACGCTCCAGAATTCCGCGTTTATGTTTTTTGCGGTTGTTATTGCGATTTTTTCGACACTGTTGTAACCTTCCTCTGACTGAAATATTTTTAAATAGCAACAGAAATGAATTAAACGTTAAATTAATTACAAGCAAATCTTTTTTGGACCCTACGAGAAAAACAAAAGGGGCGTTTTCTTTGCACACTTCTAAGGCATCATGTAACCAGTTTTTGCAATTTGCCAAGGTTTTTATATTGGACAAATCGAATACTAGCATAACAACTGAAAGTAATGTTAGCATAACTGTAAAAAAAAATCGGTTTTTATTACCATGTGCTTTTCTATAATAACATTGAGCGATGCATTTAAAGCGTTCCTGACCTGCCGTATCCCATCTACAAATTGATTTATTATTTTGTTGTAAAGGAAAATTGATTAAATGACATTTGTAAATAGTAGGGGATTCCCAAAATATTGACTTGTTCGGAATGAAAATCCACGCCTATTGTTGTGCGGTAATTAGAGTCAAATATTTTATGAGAAAAGCTACAAAAATCAATTATAAGTATTCCATTGTATAATTATTATTTACCGATTTAACAGCGACGTTTTTCCTACACACAAATCACCCAAAATAATAACTTTACACACTTTCAAACTATCGCGACAAAGATGCGTTCTGTTACTTTTCAGTAAATCGAAATCAAAATCATTTTTATTGTAAGGCGTAAATTTGAGAGCTTTCGGAAACGTGTTAATCTCTTTAAATTGTGACATTTTCTTTTCATGATTGTGTTTGTATTGCTCGAATCACTCAGACGTGATTCCGCTTTTTGAAATTGGCGCGCAAAAATCCTAACCTCACATTTTTGACATGTGTCACTTTTGTGTATAATAGAAATATTAAAAGAATAATGTCTTTAAAATGCACGGAATGCAGTCGAGAATTTTCCGTGAAAAGTAATTTAACTCGACACCTTCGCATGGTTCACGCTGTGGATGTTGAACGAATAGACATCCTCCCGGGGGATTTTGACACCTATCACTACAAGTGTCTCGAGGGCTGCAACATCTCATTTAAGTACAATCGCGAGTTGCGGAGACACCTCAATGCCAAACATGAGATGAATATGGTTGAACTGAATCTGGATTTTCCTAATTCAACAGGTAAAGTGGGTAATTTTGGATTGCTTTAAAATTGTCAAAATTGTAGAGTTTAAGAAGTGGTTGCACAATGAGGAGACTGAGAATTACGTACAATACGTGCATTTGACGGCCACGAAGCGCAGAAGCACGGGGGCTGAGACCTACTATTATGAGTGTAGCAGGACAGGTGATTTGTTATTTTGCCCAGTAGGGATTATTGTTTTATTTGCCACCTAGTATATAAATCTGGAAAGCTATGATTATTTTTGTATAAGGGATTCACAGTGCAAAAAGTAATTAAATTTTCATTGTAGGAAAGCGCAGTTATGTGGACGACACTACAAGGAAGCGCAGAGCGAGAAAATCTGTGACCAAACTAAACAGAGGCTGTACTAGTCAAATAATAGTAAATAAATCGCACGACGGTACGTTATCAGTAAATTATTTCAAAAATCATTACGGACATGAAGTAGATTTAGAGCATGTGAAACTATCCAAACAGGATAGAGGCTCTATCGCTACCAAATTATTGCTCGGATTGCCGGTTACATCCGTTTTGCATTCAGTTAAAAAAGCTAGTGGGAATTTGAAACGGATCAATCTTTTGGGGCGAAAAGACATAGTGAACATTCGAAAATCCTTCAACATAGATCTGAAAGACGGCAAAATTTTAAGTGTCGATAAAATAAACGTGAATCAATTTTTAACGGAATGTAACACATGTGAGTACAATCCTGTACTCTATTGCAGTATCGAGGAGTTCCCTGAATCAAATAACCTTAGTTATATTCTCATGACCAAACACCAGTCAGACATGTTGAAAGAAATCGGGAATAATATCGTCGTTGTGAATTCGACAAGTTTAAATAACTGTGATTTCGAACTGATTACTCTTTTTGTAATCGGGAAGAGTTGGGAGAGTTTCCCGGCTGCATGTATGTTCACTAATAAAGTGCACGACGGGACTTATAATTTATTTTTCAACAAAATAAAAGATAGGGTTGGCGTTATAGCACCGTCGATTTTAATAACAAATTGCGATGAGATGTATTACGAAGCTTGGAAATGTGTAATGGGCGAAGTCGCTTGTAATTATTACAACCCGATCCAGGTCGAAGTCGATTGGAAGCTAAACTTGAATCGCATCGTTTGTACTGAAACCGACGTGACTCGAGTGAAGCGAAAATGGGTCTACGACTCGTTGAAGATTTTCCAAAATATCACTGACGAGACCGAATTTGTGGAAAATCTCGACGACACGATGAAAGTCCTCAGCAGCGATGACGATTTTAAAGATTTTCTAGAGTATTTTTTGAAAAGTTACAGTGACCCGAAAAATTGGGCCACTTGTTACAGGAACGGCTCAGATTTGCCTCTGAAACAACTCGAAGTGATAAACGACGTTTTGAGGCAGTACCTTAACGAGGATTTGGAGACGCGATTTGATATCATTTTTCACTCACTTATCAGATTTATTCGGGATGAAACGGTCAACTCTATGTTGAAAACCAAGACGAATCGTGTGTTTTTCGTGAGTGAAAATGACACGAGACACGCCTTGTTAATGGAAAAAAGACTGAGTGGGAATCATTTGAGTGACAACGTTTGGAGTGTCACAGAAGAGGAATCCAGGATCTCTCATATCGTCCAGAAATATTTGGAGAAGAAATGTTGCAATTTAATCTGCACGACTTGTCGCATTTGTCTCCACTGCTTCAGTTGCAGTTGTGTTGATTTTTTTATCGGAAATGCGATGTGTGTTCACATACATTACATTTGGGTGACTTATTTCAAATCGACGGTACAACTTAGTGACGACATCTCGGTAACTTGTGACGAAGAAATTATAATTGAAGTTGATCAAGAGTGTGAAGAGAGTGTTGAAGATATTGAGGTTTTGCGAAATGCGATTGCGGATAGGACTGCAGTTTTAAATAATAATATTCCTAATGTTCAAGATGTTAAAACGCTTCAAGTGATTTTGGAGACTGTTAATCAACTTTGCGATTTGACGCACATCGAGGACCAGGAACAAGGTACGGAGCATCTGAGCGATCATTCATATTTGTAAATTTGATGTTAAATAAATAAATTGTTTTAAATCTTTTTCGTATCTTTCCTCGTCCTTTAAATTCTAAAACAGCAACAAACCAGTATTTGTATTTAAGTTTTCTGAGGTTGATTTTTTGTCCTCTTTTTCGAGAAGCACAAGAGTACTAATTGCGTATCATTTTCTGAATTTGGTCAATTTTATTTTCGATTTTGTTCGGTTATAAATAATGTGTTCATCAAAAATTCCGTTTACTATGTTAAACACTTGGTATGTAGGAGTATTTAATAAACTTTAGTAAAAAAAATTTTTAAATAAATTGTCAGAAACTTCTTGTAAATTGTGTATAATGGACAAAAATTGTAGTGCAATAGGCTGTCTTAGCCAAACATTTTTTGAGTGGATTCTATTTAGTGTTTTATTATTTTTGGTGAAAAACCTTTTCTGTTTACTGTTTACAATTTTTTAGGTCCGCTACGTCTATCTTTTTTAATAATTTTAGAAAAATACGTTTCGCTTATGCTGTGACGATTTTGTAACACTTTTATCAAAAAACGTTGTTAGAAGATACTATTTCTGATAATCTTTCTTCTTCTTTTAAAATAGATACATAATGAAAAAAATTGATATAAAGATGACGTGGTGAGCATTTTTAGGTCAGAATGCTCTTTAGAACCGCTGGCAGGGGAAAGTGCTCACGTCTGCTCGCGTTTTACAAAAACTATCTTTTTTTTCGAAATGCGCTCTTCATAGCACAATCGCAAATACAGTTTACGCTTATTTACGTCGCCTTGTGTGTAGCAATGATTTCCTTCGGTTTTATGCTAATGTTGCATAAACAGTCTTAATTAAAATGTTAAATCAAAAATTAAAATGGTGATGTTTGACGAACATCGCACTTCTGTACTATTTTTGATAATTCTCTTTGAACAAATCCTCTGTTCTGGTCTTGGGAAATGTCCGAAATTAGAATACATGAACAACTTTAACGTGAGCAGGGTGAGTTCCAATTTCTTCGATTTCGAAAAATGTTTTCATGAGTCAGCTGAATTCCACGCGTCGAAATTTTCAGTTTACAGGCCGTTGGTACGAAATTGAGCGTTCTTTTTATCTTATGCAATTGGTTTCGAGTTGTGTAAGTGTCGATTTGACGCAGAATTCGAAAGGTCAACTCCAAGTTGATGTCCAGACGAAAAGTAGATGGTGAGATTTGATTTTTTAAGATCGAGAGTTGATTTCTTGGTGTAGGTCTGGGAGTCTCACGGTGAGTGAAGGAGTTGCGTCGCCTTCCAAACGCCATCCAAGCGTTTTAGTTTACAAAGCTGTAACGAAATTACCGAGAGTTGTGGGTCGGTATTTGCCAGGAGCTGGAGTTTATCAAGTTATAGAAACAGATTATGACAATTATGCGATTTTGTGGTCGTGTACCAACTATGGGTTGGCTCATACTGATTTGATTTGGTTGTGGGGGCGACAGACTGAAATAAATGCCAAAACTAGGGCACATGTCTATATGGTTTTGGACGATTTGCGTCTAGATTCTGAAAGACTAATTTTACCGAAAAATGGCAATTGTAGTGACAATGAAAAATAAACTGTTTGGTTGAAATTCGTTCTATTTTTAATGATTCACAAAAAGCATTAAAAAACACACATTAAGCCCTTGAACACATAATGGCAATTAGACAAATCTTATGACCAATCTGATTTATTATTACATAAGGGATTGATTGTAACGTTAACATCATCGCTTGTAATGTCCCTCAACTGTACTATTTCGGCTTCTCTCTCTTGGAGGTTGCTGTAACTGGCTTGATTCTTCAACCAACTTTGCTCTTTTCCTACGTCGTTTGTAACGACTAAAAATAATTCTTTATCTCTACAATCCAATTCTTCTTTTAAATAATTTAAGAGGTCAGATTCCTGCAATATAAAACTGTACAACTTTCAAATGTCAATTGTATTTATGTACCCTTCCAATTATTTGGGGCGATTCTAGTTTTGAATCTAAATTATAAAACAATCCATTTAGTTGCCTGATTGTTATCCAATGTCTCCTACGTAAGGGCAGTGTAATAAAACTGATTTTATACTCACTGGGGACGTTCAAAATGTACCCACAGATATTTTTAAAATTCAAACAACTCGGGTCTCTAAAATAATAACCTAATTAAATTAAAATCTGGCGAGTAATACCAAAGCCTTACTTTCGTTTATCAAACCAAATCGTTTCATATCCCCTCGATTGCAAGGCTTTCATTATGACGTTAATATCGTAGTTTCCCAACCCCAGTACGGATTTATGGGGGTTTATCCAATTGTCTGGTGACAAAGAGTGGCAAATTACGTCGAGCTCCATTTTCGTAAATGCATCTTTCGATTGAAATAAGTTGTTTAAAGCGTGCAAAGCACATAATTCTCTAACTTGCTTCTCATGGTAGATGTCATTAAAGTTCATTATTTTTGAGGTTATGGATTATGAAGTTCCAAATTTCCACATTTTCTTGTCACAATTATGATAATTCAAGATTGGATCAGTATTAAGTTAGGTTTACATAAATTTACTTGAATTTTAAACCAGAATAAATCACATATTGCTCGATTAATGATTTTTGTTTTGACAATTGGTCAATGAACTGCAGTGAACTGTTGTGAAATGTGGTTATAGGATTGTGATGGAACTTGGCTTTCTGTCTGTGTTTCATCCTTTATGTTAAAGAATAATGTTTCAAAAGAATCAATTCAGTCACTGATGACTGATATGATAATTTTGGAAATGATTATGTTAAATGTTAAACGCCTGCATGTAGGCAACACAAAATACATCAAGTTGTATTTGTGCAGATGGTCGAATTTTTTTTTTATCTAAAGATTTGTGATGGTGCAATAGGATATTTGAGTTCTGGAATTTGTAAATAATATTTTTATATACTCGTATTAATCGCATCATTAGTTTGCGTACCCAGTTTCTGAGTTCAGTCAAAACACTGTTAAAAATCAACTTTCTAAAGTAATAAAAAGCGGAAAGTATATTATTAAAGGCTTTAATGTAATTACCAGCTATTATAGTGTCTGATAACGTAAACTTAATGAATCGTAAAAATAAAATGATTTAAAAATTTGCTGCACTCAGAAAGTGGAAAAATGTCGGCCAGATTTAGTAACTGGCCCCACTTTCCCTGCATCTCATGGGTGGCATTAAAGAAAGAAGTAAATGTTTAAAATCCAAATAACTGTTTAATAAATATAATCTTAAAATTTAAATTTTCTCGTTTGGAAGAATAATAACACCATTAATTATTACACCATGAATAAGCCTAAAACAAGTAACCATATACAATACGGTTGGATAAAAACCAATTATCACATTTTTACATACGTTTTAAGAGTATTAATATGAGCAGTAAAATTGTATAATATTAAAACCTAACGAATCTAAAGAGATCTAATTACACTTAACTTATGATGTAAATAAAAATGAGGGGACAAACACCCAAATGTAATGTATTTACACATCATGACAAAGAATAAATTTGTCAATTATTGCGTCGACGATTAACAAAAATATTATCACAACGCGATGAAAGAACATATTTCCATAAAATTTAGATCAGTCGTTAAATAATACTATCAAGAGAGAATTCTGACAAAATTGTATATCAGACAGATATGTCTAATCCCGAATTCACAACCTATCAAGGAACGGAATGGTTTCTTCTTCAAAAACAACACAATTTTCGCCACGGCTTCCTTTTCTTATTCTTCCTCAATGCCAACATAATGGCTTGATCAAAAGCTTCTTTCAAATGTTGGCACGTTTTCGCCGAAGTCTCAACATAGGGCGCATTGAGACGTTCGGCTAATTGTCTGGCTTCGGACGGACGCACTGGACGTTGTCTGCGTTGTCTTAATCCCTGAATAATTTCAGTGTTACTTTGAAGATCACTCTGGGTGCCCACAAGCACCACCGCGGCATCGTGGTATCTCGCAAGCTCGTCGGCCCACCGAGTGCAGGCTGAGAGGAACGACGCGGGTTTCACCACAGAAAAGCATAACATGAAAACGTCAGTTCCAGGGTAACAGAGGTTGCGGAGAGGATTGAAATCGTCCTGGAAAAAAATCATTCTACTGAATAAAAGATCGAACTCTGTTCGAGGCTTAATACCGGTTGGACACACTCACAACTCAAATTACTAACTCGGGTTTCTTCTTACACTTTCTTATCTTTTTTTTTTATTAAACCCTGCGCGCCATATGCTAGTGTTGAAATTATTATTTTTGTTATTTTATTATTACGCATACACAGCAGGTGAAAAAAAGCGTTTAAAAAACTAAATGTGCGAAACAAATGTAATGATTTTTCAAGATCAAAACTTTTGGATTATTGTTTCCTCTTAATTTATTTGTTCCTTTTTATTTACTGGCAACCTACTACGAAAATTTGTTTCGACAAAGACTATAATAATAATAATAATAATCATTAATTGCAAGTCAACTATACAGGGTGAATAAAAAGTATAGAACCAAACGTGTTTTGGTATATTTTTTTAAAAAACTAAATGATGAATGATAAAGTATGTACTATAAAAATGTGACGTTAATTTTTCAAATTTTTTTTTTTGAATTCGAGTACAAAATTTTTATTGTTTATACTATAAAACTTTTTTTTGCAAAGACTATGGTTTAAGGATTACAACTACAGTTGGTTGCAATAAAAACGGAAAATTGAATTTTCTTTAGAATGAAACGGGTTTTGCCCTTGTCAATTTAGTTGCCAATGTGTCATCTGTCGCATTCAAATGCAAATTAAGATAATCAATTAGTTTAGTACTTACGTAAAAACCGAATGAGTAGTGAGTTCTACAGATTAACTGTCAGTTCTAACTTAACCTTTTAGAATTAAGCCATGTTCAAACTATGGAAAAATATAAAAATCTGACATTTTTATGCTTTGACATTTTCCGATTTTTTTGCAACCAAGTGTACCACATTAAAAAAAATTTCAGTGAGTTGCCATTTTGATAAAAAAATCGCATAATTTCATTCTCAAAACACCATCACATGTTTTACAGCACTTAATTTTTTATTAATTATTATTTTCTGAAGGCAAATGATTTAAAAAAAAAAACTTGGTTCTAGTCGATAAAAAATCATAGTAGGCTATCATTAAAAAATGCAGAACCTAACAACGAAATTTAAAATTCCAAAAGTTTTTTTTGGCACATTATTTTTTTTATGAAAGCGATAATCAAAAAACGCTGGATTCACCCTGAGAGATTTTTCTAGAACTGAAAATTATTTGCTTTTCAACCATTTCGTCACAATATTTTGTATTATCAGACGCAGTTTACAAATATTTTATGTGAAAAATTATCTCATCAAAGTTCACCATTTTCTTATTATATTTACAAATTTTTTACAATATTTTTTTTCTAATCTTATCTCTCGGTTTTGGGAATTTCTATAAAAAAAATGAATTTTATTCCCAGAGATGCTCTCATTAGAAAGAGATTATTAATTCCAAGAAGAGCTCTAGAAATCACTTATAGATTTTATTTAATTATTTTCCATGTTTTTATTCCTACATTTGTCATGTGAATTGGTAATAATCATATTAATATTCATCATCTTTATAATTGTTATAATTTGAAAAGTAAATTTATATGTAAAATTATACGAAAAACTGAAAACTGTCGTGACCACCCGTGTTTTCCTTAATTTATTGTTGAAAATTAAATCTATTATGAATGTTTTTGAATATATTAACAGGAAATTCAACTCAAAATTATTGTTAAAAGACGTACTACTCTAATTAAATGAAATAAAATAAGCTTAGACTATTTACTGCAAAACAAATAGTAATAAGGATTCAGCTTTTTTCTTCAAACATTTCCCAAACATCGTAAATCTAATATAGTATTCTACCCGTTTTCAAAAAAATAAATTAAAAACTACCAGTGGTTGTATGTATTTGCAATGAATTTGATAATACTTTGAGTAAATAACATGTGTAAACACTGTAAACGCATAAAAAATCTTCAAATTTATTATTTAATTTTTGTTTGAGAAACATAATCGCACTATCTTTTTTGCAATCAGTATGCTGTATGATTTTAGGTAATATTTTTTTTAATGATGGAGTTAATATGTCTTTAACTAAATATAAGAAAAATAACAAACAGCGTCGTAAAATTGTAAAAATTTGCGCAATATTATTGTTATTTGATAGCAGTTTGGAAAAAAATCGTGTTTGGAAAAACTGCTATCACGGAGTAATAACTAATAATATTTCTCAGGGAACTAAAATCTATTTCAGTGTGGCGTGAGTAATAAAACTCTTGGCTGAATCACTGCAGTTGAACTAAGTTAACAAATGTTTTTTTCTTCCTTAAATTATAATTAGACAATCAGGTTCTCTTGTGATCAAACGATTACGTTACGGATCACAAAAAATAACGGTGGTACAAAGGCCAAACCGAACCAAAAGGTAAAAAAACGAAAGAACCATTTACCTCACCAGCTGTATCGCATAGCTCTAATCTGATTGGCTTCCCGTCCACCTGAACCTCAACTGAAACAAACAAAAGAAACGTCAGGTTGTTAAAACATCACCAAAATAAAGCCGTCACGCCAGGTTGTCGGTTAAATTTTGTCTTTTTGTTACGGTTAACGAAAAATTATGAAATGGGACCGGAAAAAATTACTCATTGATTAATATCGGTACTGATAACTCGAATTAATATTTACTAATAAATCAATCTATGTGTGGCTGAGTGACTGGATTTTATTATAGTCTTGAGGAACAAACTCAGGTAGATGGCAACAGCTGCCAGGTTGGAGATCCAACAAAGAAATTTGAAACTTTTCTTGACTATCATTCAACATCCTTTCAACGAAGTTTGATTGAATCTAGTGGAAGTTTCAAGGCTACTTTGCCGATTCAAAATTAAAATAATTTTGACTTGACCTCAGTCTGACTCCTCGAACTAAAAGGCATAATAAACGCGAGAAATTGTTCATCAACTCTTTATCATCGGGCTAATTTAGTTCATAAGTCAACAAGGTTAAACACCTCGACCTTATCCCATCTCTCCGTCAAATTATGATGAATTAAATTCGGGAAAACGCAGTTGCAAGTGTTGATAATTATATAAATTAAACACGAAGCTATTTTTTATAAAAAGTCTCAATTAATAAGGCAAGGTCGCGAGTGAATAGCCTTCTTCCGAACTTTAAAATTCTGGAATGGAAACATACATATGGATTTTGAATACCATATCAAATAGTTTTTAATTGGTCATAAAGGTCGTTACAGTAAAAAACTGAATTTTCTCCCATATTCAGGTACTTTTCAGGTAACAAGGTTAAATCCTTAACACCGACCTTTCAACAGGTAAACCAGGTAAAGAAAAAAACTACAATTGGAATTATTTTCCCAACTTACCGTTGTAATTATCGTAGGCCGTTGGAACATACTGGTTGGGAAAAGTATCATTACTGTACGATACTGCTAAGGCTGTTTTTCCGACCTCTTTGTCTCCGACAATAACACATTTAATTGTATTGTTTTTCTCTTTTTTAACTTTTGATTTTTTGCTTGCATTATTGTAAAATATCACAGGCGTTTGATGAGTCAACAAGGGCTGTTTCGTGTAGTGCAAATTGGGGTTGTATTGAGGAGTCATTGCAATGTTTTCGGAAAAAACAGATTGGTACTTTCCAGAAGTCCGATTATCATAGCAGATATGATATGTCAGCGGTGGATAAATTAATTAATTCGAGTCTTTTTTCACAATTCACTACACTTTTTTACAATCACTATGAATTCTTAAGTTGATTTTGGACGGTTATGGTAACACTACAACACTTGTCACTATCATCTGCTGCTACAGAACAAGTCGTAAGTCGTCTGCTGGTCTGCTGTTGTCTGACTCATCATCGACAGATTTTATCAAACGATACAATACACAGCCAGCGGTATTCAAACAAAATTTCTCAAAGAATGACAAAGAAACCACTTCTGAATTTGTTTCTAGAATTTTTTTGGACAAAAAAAGCAATAATTCTTTGTAATTTTATATTAAACCTTAACAGAAAGTCTTAAATAATTAGAAAAATAGCAAAAATTGCATTTCTAGTGGTAAAAATGAGAAAAGTTTGATAACCGCTGAAATTGTATCGCGTATCGAATTGCTGACCACCGTGACATCTACAGTCTAATAACATAATTATGAGAAGATAAAAATAAAACCTGTGATAAGTGATAAGTTTCTGGTTTCTCATTATTATTGTTTAAAGAGAATAATAAATAATAATCCATCTGGTGATTTAAAAATGGTTAAGCTTATCTTTGTTGGAGTTTCGTCAGAAAAACAAATAAGAACCTTGGACTTATCATCACGTTTTTTGGATTAAAAAAACGTAAGGGCTTATTACAAGTGACAACTTAAGATTAATTGAAATAATTTAGTATCAAATTGAAACCTTCAAATTTTAATTTTTGAAAACGTCTTTATTGGCGGTTTTTTTTGGTTCAAAAACAGAAAACCCTGCGGAGGAGTAGGTTACTAGATTTACATTCCATTAGATTAGTCGGGTGTTAAATTTGCTAAAAACGATGGATTCATCCGATTACGTGTTAGAAACGCTAAGAAAAGACATAACTGAGCATAATTTACAAATCAGGGCCATAATCCAGGTGTGTATTATTCCTAAATAGTACTTAATTTTTGACACGTCTGTGTTGTCCTAGGACATTAACGCATGCGTCGGTCCATTGGCAGAATTGCAAGGTTTGAATAGCGCGGGACGTTCAAAAATTTCCGCTTTGCGGAAATTCATCGACAAATTCGGGGACATAGCGAAAGAACGTAAAAATTCAACGTTTTTGAAAGATGTTGTTTCATATCGTGAACAATTAGCTAGGTGATTTGGGGTGTGTTGTGTGTTAAAGTTTAATTTGAGTAAATTTTGTAGTACAATGGAAGCGTTTAAAAAAGCCAATATTAATGCGATGTTGGCTATAGAAAAGGGGGCCCAAGAAGAGTTATTAAAACCGAAAACTGAAGAAATGGTACTGCGTCAAAGACAAAAACGGGATAAAGAAAATTTGGTTAAAATGAGCTCAAATGTAACAGAACAATTATTATCAATCAGTAGGCAATTAGCTGATACGACGAAAAGGAGTGCGGATACTCTGGACGCGTTAGTTACTTCCTCTGATACTGTAATCGGGTCACAGGAAGAACTCAAAATAACGTCAAGTACAATTAGCCAATCGGGAAAATTGCTGGCGAAGTATGGGCGAAGGGAATTCACTGATAAAATATTGATGTTTTTTGCGTTCGTGTTCTTTGTAGCTTGTGTCTTTTATATTGTTCAAAAAAGATTATTTTAAATAAAAAAATACTTCACTGTCTTTCTCCTATTACGTTTAGTTTCTTTGTTTTGTGACTAATTGCGCGCTTCTTCTTATTTGAAATGCAAGGCCTCTTCTTCACTGACCTTAACACTGAGTTTTTACTGAGAATATCAAGATAAATGATGACGCGTTCCTATGTTATAAATAGTTGGCGAACGAATTTTATCAATTAGAAACCAACAAGATGAAGTTGAAGTTTGTGGTCCTAGCATTGTTGGTGTTTTTGGCACTGTTCGTGACCGCTGATTCGTCACCATCGCCGTTTTTGAGACTCTTTGGTTTCGAGGATTATCACCAACAACGACGGCCGAGAAACTACGGACGACAATACGGATCTGAGGGCGGCAATCGAAGATACAAAGCGATTTGTCGAGTTCACGCCGTGGATGCTCAAGCCTTCCCTGGACGAGTCGGAAATCCGGTTTGCCCGTATTAAAATTTTGATTTGTCTCAGTGGCCTCCACGAAAGAAGTAAATATAGATATAGTTTATTATAACAATAATAATGTATACATTTAAATAAAATCATCTGATGCATTCAAAACAGTCTTATTTCCATACTTTAATGATTCCGTCTCGCGACGACGATACCATGAAACACTGGGACGCTTTACATAACGTAATATCAGTAATACAGTCTCTGTGTCCGGCTGGGGGTTGCTCCGGCCCTCCCCTAGGTCCCTCCTCACAACTTTCCTTACTTCTGTCATTTTCGGGATTTTCATAAATCACGTGAAACCCATCAATTAGTCGACTCTCATATGTTATGTTGCTCCCAATGTGATCATTAGCAGCGGGTGCAATAATATGAGACTTTTCCGGCGACTCCAAATTCCAAAATCTAAGTCTCTGATCCGTGCCACCCGACAAAACAAACGGATTCCGATCGATACATCCCGCTAACAAGGCACACACACTATTCGAGGGGCCTTGTGACTGCGACAATGGTGGGGCCGAACTACCCCAAAGAATTTTCTCCAAAGATTTCGTCTCCAAGTTCCACATGAGAATTTTATTGTTTCCGTGGACGCTTGAGATGACCCATGATGGTTCAGTTGGGTGACTTATCACTTTTTTGATTTTTTCAGTCCCGGGTTGTTCAAAGGAATTTATCGGGAGTTGAAATCGCAAGTCCCAAGCTTTGTAATGGCCGATACTTGTGCCCAAAGTCAGGAGACTCTGATGCGAGTCAACACAAAAACTAGTAATAAATCCCTTTTCTAAACTATTTTCTAGTTTCCATGCAATCCCCGGTGCCCTCAAATCCCAACCTACGATAGACCCGTATAAAGTCGCGTAAACCAAGACACTCTGAAATCCCGAATCCAAACACTGGACGTCCACCACGAATCCCTCCTCATCTAAATTCAACTGACGCGTTTGGATCATATTCATCCTAAAATCAATCAAATAGTGTTTGTTCAATATTATTTTGAAACCCACTTATTTCCGGACGGATCAATTCGTAAAATATTTATAGCCCCATCCAAAGAAGCCGCTCCGAGACTCTGCCCCCCGTCACAAACAGACATACTGGTGACCCCCGCACCAGATGGCGTTTTGTGATGTTGCTTCGATCTGTTTGCGATGTTTTTCCCTTCCATCTTGGCGCAATCCCAAAGCCGGACATAACCATCGGCAGAACAACTTGCGAATAAAGGTTTATCCGGGATTGTGCACAGGCGATTGACCGTTCCTCGATGCTCGTGGAGGTGAGCCACCAAAACGCCGCGCGAATGCCACTCGGGGGGTGGCAATTGGGGCTGCCATGCGGTTTGCTCGGCCCAATCTTTGCCCCTAAAATGAATTTTTTCACTTAAAAATTAAATTGGCAACACTGAAAAGTGTGGAGGTAGAGAGAGAAGAAAATTAACAAGTCTCATACCGTGCGATCAAAAAAAAAATAACACATTGGCTGGGAATCTGGACTGGAAATTTTCCACACAACTGAAAGTGAAAATGACCATTCATCGTTTTCGTCTTGTACAGCATTTTTGGTATAAGTTGCAACAATAAAAATTTTCTGCTCTAAAGTCAACATTATTTCACTCAAAATTAATAAAACGCAAACTTGTCAAAGTTTCCGCTGACATTTGATGGCAAAATCAGGCTTGCAATCTAAAAGACTTTCATCACCGCGTACTCTAATTTATTTTATTTTTTGATTGCATGGTACATTCTGTCTCATTGTTGCCAACTTAAGTTTAAAGTCACAGCCCACTTTGTCGTAATTCAAGTAAATGCGTGGTATTTAAAACTTTTTTGTTCTCTTAAATAATAAGTAAATTATTTTTGATGGTATGTTTACCTTAAAGCCTCCAAATAGTGTTCCTGCTGCTTAATTTTCAGTTTATTCAACTCCAAATAACAACTCGACCTGCGATCTGAGTAAACCATAAATTATTTTATTGATTTAAGAAAATGCTTACATTGTATGTAGGAGCGTTCGTGGAGACTGATATTCGACGAAGGATCCGTACTGATAAAAGGCGTGTGGGGGTCAGGGGGCGGCGACGAGGGTCTCGAAGACGTCGACCTGGATGACATCCCACCCGAATTAGTACTTTCCGAATGTCTCGTCACTAAATCAGAGCTGTAGTTCCAATCGGAATTTACATTTGTGTCAATTGACCCTGATGTGTTCGTCCTGTGTAACCTTCTAAATAATTTATTTGATTAATAAGACAACTAAGTTTTGTAAAAATACCTATCAGCGATAAAGTCACCCTTCTGTGATTCCCCCAAATAAAATACGTGACTTTTTATTTGACCGTTGCTACTAACAAGCTCGATTTTGCCGTCCCCTTGATTCAGTTTTGTTGCCATTCTGTGTTTGTTGATTTTTTTCAAATGGTGTTCCATTTTGAGGAAATAATCTTCCATTGTTTCGGTCAAACCGTTGGCTTCTAAACGTCTAAAAAGCTAAACGGACAAATAAAAATTTAGACTATATTTAATTTTACGTTTTTAATGGACGATGTGTACCACTCCAAACTAGTGACACGACCAATATTCGCTGCATCTCGTGCAAATTTTCGGTCTTTCAACATCCTGAGCAAATTATCCAAATCCGGATAAGTGACCACACTGTCGTAAATATTCCTCGGAATCGGATTATCCAAGGAGTCGAGTAACAATTCCGGCCTAGAATCACTCTCAAGTCAAAATTCCCCAAAAATTTTCACACTTACTTATCAATTTGGATCAAAGGATATTTCATGTAGATACTCAAATTTGGTATAATTTTGCATTGAACATCCAAAATCGATAACGATTTTGTCGTCGTTGTTATAAACCCAACCACGGCATGGCGTATCCACAAATTCGGGTGAACCAAAAAACACGCACATTCCGACACCATCTCACACAGCGCTGACTTTGTCAACAACCCCAACTCGGTCAATGCTGACATTGCATTTATACTTTTGGTAGTGACAAACTCACACGGATCGGTTAAACCCTTCAACAAACAATAATTTCGAGAAAAGCCTTCGAACAATTTAGCCAATTCAAAATGATTAAGACAAAACTAATTCCGCGTTTTTTTATTATTTCAAAAAATAGCAAATACTTCAAAAAGAAAAAGTAAGATTTTACAAACAAATTAATTTAACGAGCAGTTTAAATAAACTCATTTAGACAAAACTAATTCCGCGTTTTTTTATTATTTCAAAAAATAGCAAATACTTCAAAAAGAAAAAGTAAGATTTTACAAACAAATTAATTTAATGAGCAGTTTAAATAAACTCACTTGTAACAAAAGGGGGGTCAAAATCCCCGAGCAATGCCACCCTATATACGCCGCCACCCCCACAATGCAATCGAAAAACGACCCCCGCAACTGCTTGTCATCCTTGTCGTTCAAAAACGTGATCATGTGCGACAAGAGAACATCGTTGGCCTTTTGTTTCCCGAAAAAGACACACAATTTAGTGATCCCATTCTCGATCAAAGTTTGTTTAACCAGAGCTTGAGAGTCGGTTAGAAGAATACTGACGGTTTGCTCGACCATCTCGTGCAATGCTTGCAATTCCAATTCGTAGTTGAAAGTGTGGTTGTATTTTTGTTTGATGTTGTTGTCGTACCAGTCATTTTGCATTTGGTCTAAATACCGTAATGCAATTTCAGCCAACGTTGCGATGTTTTTAGCATAGGCTGCTCTAACGCAGATGTTGGGGTCCACAGCCAGGGGGGCTAAACCGGGCAAAACGTACTCAGGGAAAATATTAGAGTCCGACTTTGGCAGCTGTTGCACCAATTCGAGGCATTTAGTTATGGTATTAATTGCGGCTATTTTGACCCGTGATGAGTTATCCCGAGCCAAATACATCTAAAAAAATAAATAAGTTAATTGATCGAATTTTTTTTAAATTGACTTACAATGTAGGGTAAAATACGGTCAAGGATAGTTTCACCATTTGCATGATTTGATAACTCTAATAAAATCTCAAGACTGCATAATTTCGAGCTGCAGTCGTGTAAACCCCGAATACACGAAGTCACCAAGGAAATAATAATGACCAAACCCTCACTTTCACCCTTCTCAAGTGTTTCGTTATCATCTTCATTAGAATGTTTGATGGGTCCTAGAAATTTAAAAATGTTTGCGATGTCACTCTTAAGTCTCAAAATTTTCTCGTCGGGTGACAGAATCGGAGTAGCAGAAAAAATCAGCATGTAACTCTGTAAAAACGTGAAGAAATATTCGGGGAATAGTTTCCCTCGCTCTTTTGCAAGATAATCTTCCGCTGATAAGCGTTTACTTGGGTCGATTTCAATCATACTTGAAATTAGTGACTTCAATGAGGGATTATTTAAATTATTCAAGTGTTTCTCAGGGGAGTATTTGTTTGATCTGTACGCTAGTAACTGTGAGTACTCAAACGGGACGTGTAACTCATTCCATAACTCCAATAAAGCACATCTGGGGTTTTAATTTAGTAAAAATTTAAATGTTTAAATGTTTTTACCCTGTGGAGAATATATCCATCGCTGGGGTCAATTCTCCACGTTCGCAAGTGGTTTCGGGGATCAAGGCGCTGTTTTCATTGTTTGTGGTTTTGCTGAACCTTTCAGGGGCTATGTAACACGTGCGTCGTCGCGACGTGTCAAAAAAATACGAATAATCGGCCGGATTATCCTCTGGGACAAAAGTCGGCTTAAATGACGCAAAATCGACCAATAAAACCCAATTCCACGACGTGACTGTGATATTTTCTAGTTTAATATCGCCGTGGCAGACCCCAACTTTATGGCATTGATGAAGTGCGTACAATATTTGGAAAGTAATCCAACGTTTCTCAATGTTGGTCAAAAACGGACGAGTACTAATCCTATCATATAAACTGTACTTAACGTACTCTCGGACTAAAATGCCGGCTTTTTCTGTTAAAATAATTTTCTGGAATGGGATACAATTCACTGCGCTTGACAGACGTTTTCGGATTTCGTCCAAATGGTCTTTGTATGTTGATAAAGGAAGAGTAGGGTCATGAATTGCGAAAACTTTCACGACTACTAGGCCTTCCTGGGATTCAGCTCGGGCTACTTTGAAAAAACGGGTACTTCCCAGACTGGAACCAGGCGTGTGAGCGAGGTTTGGGAAAGATGGGGGCTCACCTTAGGTCAAATTTCAAGTCAGGGTGGTCTGTTAAGTAGCGCTCGACGGGAAGAATCTGCAAGGGGGCAATTCCTATCAGTTGGTTACCCATTTTTCACGAAAAATGGTGCGATTATCACCAAAATTATTGTTAGATGAACAACATTTTGTATCACTTCTGTCATTCATTGACTTTTGTTTTGACATTTGATCTCGAAAAATGCAATCGCCCAATTCTCACAATATTTATATTTTTTACTTATTAATAAAAAATTGGAATCAATTGGACACATATTGTCCTAATTAATCAAAATTGTAGATTACTTTATTTTAATTATGTTATCAAGGCGCAGAATTCATAAATGAGTTGACAACACTGAATTGGGCGACTATTATTTTGGCATCAGCTGTTAGCTGTTATTTGCAACATAACCTCAGAAATGTTTATTATTTGTTTCGTGTTTAAAATGTGAAAACTCGCCCGTTTATTAAAATTCTACTTAACACTCCAGTGATTTTGTTGTTTTGGTGCTAGTTAGTATGGAGGTGAACCCATTGAGTGTGATTTTGGTAAAGTCGGACAGTAAAGGGGACCGCCTCTTATTTCGTTACCCCTTTCGTTTCTTGGAGAAAAACGAGCCGGCAAACACCAAACGGCGAAATCCTTACACTTTACCAAACCTCGAAGATTTACTACAGTCACCAACTCAACCCACTTCAAACATAAATAAAGGCCATTTAACCGGTTTCACTGATGAAGTCCTATCGTCCTTATTTGCTGTGAAATCAGAACTGTGCAATAAAAAATTTGAGTTGAAAGTCAACGATGTGCGTTTTGTGGGTCACCCCACATTGCTACATTTGAGAAATAAACAACAGGACGCTTCCGGTTTAATGTTGATTAATGTGGTTTTTGCTTTACAAGCCCTTGCTAGTCATTCAGTTGGTAAAAGGACATTTCCCATATATGTTTTGTACTATTTTAAACTTTTAGTAACTTGTTATCACGATTTGAGTAAAAGAGTCGGCATTGCGTTGCGTTATGAAGAAAAACGCTGTGGTTACGTGAGCGAACAAACCCAAACTATGACCACAGCACACGATGATGGGTATACTGGTATCTCAGAATCGGCATTTGAGACAATTTTAAATAAGTGCACGTTGGCGAAAAATATTAAAAAGTTGTATGAAGATTTGTGCAGCACTGGACTGGTCAATATCCAAATTAACAAATGGATAACTTTGAGTTTTTGCTTGCCTCAGAAGGTGCACCAATGGCACTTAAGAGGGAAATTTGTTGAACCTAAAGACATAGACAGGTAGGGCGAGACTTAAGAGGGTTAAAACTTTACACTCCACTATTATAGATGTTTAAAGGCGTTGCGCCCTTACCACAGTCTGTTATTACTTCACCCTATACAGCAAATGGCTGATTTCACCGGATTGGATGGCTCTCCATCACTAGAAAGAATGTTAAAGCAGTATTCTCCAATTAAAAATTTGCAGACTTTAGCTGCCGACGCCGATTTAACTCTCAATCATGTAAACACCGATCCAAATCGTGCCATTTTTTAAATTAAAGTCATTTTAGGTTTTTGAACTCACGGCCCATTTAGTCTATTGGGCTAAAGCCACGGTTATATTCCCCATCTGCCTGACTAATAAATATGTGATAGCACCCGATGCCCCCATCCATTTGAATTCGCCCTTGATAGATAAATTCTCCGAGGCGTTTCCCACAGCGAATTTAATTCGTGTGATAAGTGATTTTGCGTTGCCGACCTCTTTGGGGCAAAAATGTAACCCTTTGTGTCATCCGGCGCAACAGTCGCATTTGGTGCAAACTATAATTTGGATGTTGCAACATCATCTACTGTTGCAACTCCACACGTATATACAGTATATGCCAACAGATCATGGTTTATCAGTACCTAGGGATAAGGACGAACGGATAACTTCGCAAAGGAATATATTGTCGTCGAGTTCGTATCATCCGAGTACGTCTGAACATTCCCGAGCCGAGTCCGAAAGCGGTACGTCGACCGTGTCGGAAACACCCGAGCTTCGCAGCGAATCAGATTTGATCAGTCGGAGTATTAAGTTGTGTTGTGTTTTAATCTTTGATGATTTTTTTCATTTTTGTGTTATTCTAGTCTTGAAAATGTGAGTTTCACATCCGTTGAAGATGAAAAACAGGATTATCAGGAAGAGTTGCTTTTGGATTTTCCTGATGAGGAGAGAGGAAATATTTTTAAAGTAGGAATGTGACTGTTTTTTAACAAAAATTTTTAATGATTTTTACCTAGATTCCGGCAACTAATAATCCGGAAGATTTGCGATTGTTTGTTCGATTATGTCGTAAGGGTTACTTTCATGGAAACCACCACATTGAAGAAATAATGTATTTGGAGAATTTACGGCGAAGTCAGTTATTGCAACTGTTGGATAAGTTTAGGGATGTTTTGATCACTTATGAAACGGAGGATCCGGCTATAGCTATGTTTTCATACACATGAGCGTGTTAACTAAATGATTTGTTTTGTCTAATTATTTTATTAAAACTGTTAATCTTCATATTTTTGTAGTTAATTTTTTTACTATTTGATTAAAGAAATATCAAGTTTGTGGTCGTGAAATTTTTTCACTTATTTATTCAGCATATTTATTTATTTACAGAAGTGAAAAAGTTGTCTTTTTTTACTTTATGCGACATTTACATACTCCATTAACACAATAAGCGCCCAGAATACATTTTACAAATTTACATTTCATTATTTGTACTTCTGAACACCCGTCATTTATAGATCTTTTGAAATTGTTATAAAAATCTAAAATAAAAAGATTATGTGACTTTTTTTGTGTGTAATAAAATAATACCTACCTCTAAAATTTTCTTTTTGTTCCAGGGGATGTGAACCACAGCAGAAGATTACAGCTGAGGTAAGGAGTAGCGATAAACCTAACTTCATTTTTACTTGGTATTTATGTAATTAAACAATGCAGTATTTATATACCACATGTAACTAGTGTTATTCCTTTTAAATAGGAGGGGATTTACTAAGTTTATTACAGGTTAGGCACGTATTACGGAAAGGGGGTTCCCGTATCTCGTTTTATCAGTATGAATATTTTATGGTTAAGATAGTAATAATAAATTATCTAAATAATGATGTGAAGTTGTGAACTAAAAGCAAGTGTATTCTGTGTTGCCTACACAAGTTTTCTTTTATTGCCTTTATTACTTTCTATTCTCCTGATAAACAACTGGTCAAAATCGTAGTTTAAACTACAATTAGCGTGTTTTGCGAAACGCAAAGTAATAAATAAACAAACAAATTGAGGGGTTAGGTTAGATATACAGGCTGTCCTAGAGTTCCGTATTTCTTCGATTACTGTGACAGTAAAGAAGATAACGAAATGCGGTTTCTTTTGGACGAAGACATTCATTTTTTCTATGGTCCAAAAATATTTTCGTCATTATAGGTAATTTATATATAGGGTGACGCAACAAAGTTATATTTTTTTATGGAACACCGGTATATTATGCACTTATTTTAAAGAGTTTTTAATTCAAAAATATCCATATTAGATTTTATGGGTCTATCATGGACCGTTTATCATTTATGGGCAATTTTATGAAAAAAAAGTACCATTTTAAAAAAATCAAAACGGCTTTGCTAGAAAGAAAAAGTGAATAAAAACAATTGCAACCATTTTTACTGAGTCTGTTCCTAAATTATTATGGTTGAAATTCGATCAATCTTTTGCAATTACTGCAGAGTGTTGACATTTGCGAAATATCAAGTGACTTGATTTTTTCAAATGAAACACCTTGTATGTTATTACATTATCGTGTAGAGCTTAAAAAAACTAGGGTTTGGAGGTCTAAACTTTACCTGTTTTAATTTATACCCTTTAAATCTAGAAAATTACAATATTATGGTGTTTATTGAGATCACTGTAAACAAAAAATCTTAAGGGTGCCTTTATATGATTTTAAGAAAAAACAAAGAACGCTTATTGTTTGTAACACATAAGTATACAGGGTGATTCACGAGAAATAATGAGCCTGACCAAATTCTCGATGCAACCAACATTACATTTGTCGCAAAGCAACTTGCGAAAAGTAATGGTGGTTGCATCGAGAATTTAGTTAGGTTCATTATTCCTCGTGAATCACCTTGTATACTTATTTCTTCGTTATGCTTTATTTTTTTTATCAGAGTTTAACATTACCATTTCATTGTCACATTTACATTTTTTTTCACGAACGTTTCTATACTGCCATTCGGCTGCACCCCATCCTTTCATACCATTGATTTCAAAAGTGCACAGTCTTTCAACTACTTTACTCTCCCAATCTTTACTAATGTAAAAATGCGGAGAATGTAAAACGTTGACTTGCATTAAATATCGTTTTTTTCCTAAAACGATGCCTTAGTAAGTAACATGAGAAATAGTGAAAAAAATGTGTAGCACCTGCTTCAAAACTGAACGCATAATCTTCCGGTGGATCTCCACCTTCACCATGTTGGTATAATTCCAAATCGCAGGATCTTACTGGATGTATTTTGTCTTCTTTAGCTGAATAAACATATCCTATAGTTAATCTAGAAAATATTAAAAAAGCTCAAAGATTATTTAAGTAAATCTTAATTTACCTAGAAAAGGAAATTGGTAAACAAATCTTCCCAACATTGAATCTGTCGCCATTTTCGGCGGTAACAAAATGTAGTCCATATCTATGAAAATTCCTCCATTCTCTTTGCAAACCAAAACTATGATCTCTCACGGCGTTAATATTAATTTTGAATGAGCGGCCATTGATAATCGCTACTCCTTTAATATCACCGTGTTGCTCATAATGAGTTTGGTGGTTCCTACAATTTATATATTATTCTACAAAAAATAAAGTATAAAATGAATACGCTTTCAAATTTTCAAAATATTCTCGACTGAACTTCTCATAAGCCATCGACTTGGCCATTGCCCACGGATCCATATCACTGTCAAAGTTAAAATAAGGCAAAGTAGAGCTCCACTCGGCTTCTATTTTCACATCAACAAACTCTTTGCGATTTTCAAATCGTTTCATTTTGCCTTCGTACGATATTTTCCATTTTCGCATCGGCTCTTGTGGCGATATTTTAAGACCTTCAGCTTCATATTCCCCGATTTCTTCAGTTTGGTAAAGCGCAGTTCCAGGCAGTTTTGGAGTCTCCAATAAACCGAGACCCGAATTTTTAATCAGCAAATAGAGAAAACCATCCACTAATTTTTTTTTACGTCGGGCTGTGCCAACAACCAAATAATCACCGTTTTTGTTAGCCCCATTGAAATATACAGCGTCAATAGCCTAGACTAATAATTAATTTTTGTAGGTAGGGTAAGAGTACCAATTGTGGCCACTTTAAGACATTTGTTGACTTCATGGTTTAGTCATTTTAATAATTTTTAATGAATTTTGAAATAGCTAGCGGAACGTGAAAGAATTTTTACCCGTTAATCAGAAGTAAGCATGTAAAAAAAAGACAGAACGCGTTTTAGTGTAGAAATTAATTATTTACTTGAAAAAGTCCAAAATCACCATTTGTGGCCACGTTAACACTAGTTGTGGCCATCACTTGTTCCTGTTGTGGCCATAGTCTTTACTCAAAAAAATGCTGGAGTAACATTATTAAAATAAAGTTTATTTATTATACTTAGTACGTAGTAGGTATTATTTATGTAGTATAGTAGTATAGTTAAGTAAGTTATAACAAAAATACAAAAATATAAAAAAAACAATCAAAATAAACATACAAAAAAAAACAAACTGAACAAACTCTATAATTACGTTTGATCACACAGACATGAGAACAAAAAACTTTTTAGCATATATAGATGAATATATAAAAAATTTAAAAATCAAATTCTCTCATTTCGGGTACATCATATGCTCCTCGCATATTTATAGAAACGGGTTCTTTAATTTTTGAAATAACGTCATCAGCGTTATACCAAACTAAATCRTTTCTGTCAGGCCATTTCCAATGATCTCTGCCACTTTTGTGCATGGCGCAACAGTAAAATTGATCTCGTTCTTTATTCACCACTTTTGCGGGATAATAATTCTTGTCATACCTAACAATTACATAGCATCCAACTGAGATGATCTTTTCATCAACTTCATTGTTTTGTATTCTTTGGTTAGTGTCAGTCTTACTGTTTTCTAAATTTTCAGTCTTCTTGTATTCAACGTCACAGCTACCTTTTGATTCATTTTTGARCTTAGTTTGTTTGGTCTTTTTGGGTTTCTTTTTGTCATTTTCTTTCGCATCCATTAATTCAATCCATTTATCAGAAGTGATCACAGAAGGTAATTTTCTTTTAATCCTCTTAGTAGTCGTATTATCAATCGATTTATCTTTGTTTTCAGGCCATGTAATCACTTCATTTAAAACTTCACTTACGCTTTTTTTCTTCAACAGTTTCACGTTTTCGTGCCATTCCTTATCAGTACTATCAATTTCATTGTTGCAAGAAGTTATATTGTTTCTAATATCATTATGTGAACAGCTATCCATTTCAGTTTGTTCTGATACCACATTGACATTCACATCCACTTTTTTTTCTTCAGGTACAGTCAAATTGCTATCAAGTTTCAAGTTTCCGTTAATCAAATCAAGGTATTTGTCTTCTTGTGTATCACCTCCAAATTCTGTGTTGTCTAAATTTTCAGTTTCGTGACTGGACGGCGATAGTGACAGTGTAGAAAAACCAATTTGTTCTTCGCTTGATGTTAATACAATATTTTGTAGAATGTTAATCGCTGGTGTTGGATTTTCATGAAGTTCAGGAAAATCAAAAATTAATAAATCCGGATCATTTTCTAACTGGTTCATAGTCGCATCTTCTAAGTTGTCACTGTCATATTTTAAAGACCTCCATAAATCGAAAAGAGCTAGATACTTTTCTTGTCCATTCCAAGGTTGTTTCAATGAGTAGGTAGCATGGAATTGTTCAAGAATATGGGATTCAATTTTTTTCTCAACATTTGCTATGGTTTCACTGATGTTCATTTCTTGTTGGGTAATGTTATTTGTATTTAGAGATGTACTGCTACTAGTTTTTAATAGACATTTGCCGTAATCAACAGCATTTTCATCAAACGGAAATAAGCCACAGCGGCGAAATCCGGCAACAGCACTTTTCTGAAATTTTTCTTCCTTTAAAATAGCGTTTAATGCTGTTGGTATATCTTTTTTTTGAATAGATTTGCCTTCATGATCAAAACGCCATTTTCTTGTAAATTTTTTCCACGCTTGCTTGAGTGGAAAAAAGAAAGCAACATCTAAMGGTTGAAGGATATGCGTGGTGTTCGGAGGCAGACAAATAAGAATTATTTTGTTGTCACGGCACAAGTTGCTAAGATTGATAGAAAGATGTGATGAGTGCCCGTCTAAAAATACTACTATYGGCCTTGGCACCTCATTTGTATCCAAATATTTGACAAAAATATTTGCAAAATACTCAAAAAATTGTTTGCTTTGCATCCAACCTGTGTCTGAATGACCTACCGCCCAATGAGAKGGTGCTGAAGTGGCATATATTTTAGGTAGACGTTGAAACTTAAATATTGTTAACGGAGTAACAATTTGGCCTTCARCCGAAATTGTTATTAACGTAGTGACGTTATCTTTGTCTGAAGCACCAACGTCATATATTCCTTTTCCTTTCGGTCCTAGAACTAGTTCTCCTTTAGGAGACAAAAACATTGCAGTCTCATCCATGTTGAATATTCTATTTGGATGATTTAAAACTTCAACATCCTCGCCTAGAAGCATCCTTGTTTCTTCAAACCATTGTTTAATGTTATTTTCGGAAACAGAAGCTCTGGCTCTGTTTATGAATTCCGCCTTTTTCTGACTGATTTCAGGATGGCGCTTCATGAAACCTTCATACCATTTTCTACTTGGAGTATTGTTGACGAAATTAGTGTTTATATTACATTCTCCAACAATCTTCTGAACAGAGTAATACAAGCCTTCTCTGTTTATGGGAAACCCCCTTTTAGCTAGATCTAATATCCAGCGAACTATTTTTTCTTCAATTTCTTCTCCAAGAACACTGGAAGGACCAACTTTTCTACAATTATCTGAAGTTTTCCCGGACAGACGGTTCCTAACGGATGTTCTCGGGACTCCAAACTCTTTACAAGCAGTTGCTACAGCCATTCCTTTTTCCCTTATGGCTAGAAGCGCTTTCTCCATTGCTTCCACACTATACTTAAATAGCTGACGGTCTCCCTTTGTAGCCATTGCTGCTAGAAAAAATAGTTATTTATGTGAAACTATATATTCTTAAGCATGGCCACTACTAGTTTGCAGTTGATCTATTTGTGGCCATTAAAGTGGCCACAACTGGTACAACAACAAAATTCATAATCCATTTTGTGGCCACTCAATTAAATAATGATTTTAGGTTAGAAATGTAAAAAAAATGTTTAAAACATTAGATATTTGTTATTTTAGGTTTGAGAGAAATTAATTTCATATACGTTTGATATTTAGTTTTGCAATAAAATAATTTAGCAACATACCTGTACTCTTAAGGCGCTGGTTAAGAAACACGGACCGCACATAGCACTATACCTTAAACATTAAATTTCACAAATATAACGACGTACTCGGTAACCAATGAAAGGCATGGCTAATGAAAAGATATAGAAGTAGGGATTCATGTTAAAGTCTATTGGTTAGTTGTAGCGGGAAACTTGTTATTTTTATTTTAGTCGAGAACTGGCCAAAACTGGAGCTCTGGCCACAAAGGGTACTTCTACCCTAGTAGTAACGATACTAACCTTTGGATGCGCTGATAAGTTTTGGGGCCTGTCAAGTACATTTATTTCTTCTATTTCTTTACGTTTTTTAAATTTGTGCGCTAACTGGGGGAGAAGTTATTCAACTGTGTCAATTTTTTTTCTTACAAACCTTTTTCAACGACAAAACCGTAAACATAAAGATGAATTTGAACCAAAAGAATCCATTCGGTCTCTGGTATATGTTCAGTATAGCAGGAGGGTTTTTGTTTTTAATTATAAATGTGGCTATAAATAATAGTGATAGAAAAATTATACCAAATTCCATCAAAAAACCCATTTCTGCTTTTCTATTCAAGCAAACTCATTTAAACTCATCAACTTTGTGATAACTACTTACAGACTGTGATAACATAAATATCTATTATCTCATATGTGATAACAGAATTAGCAAGACTCAGGTGTGATTTTAACTCTTATTTGAATGTTCTAATTTTTACTTTGCAACACACAAAAACAAAAAATATGGTGTTATAAAAGATTTATTAGCTGAGAAAGTCTGTACCAAAAATTACACACAATTTTTTTTAGATGATGGTCACGATTTTAGGGTTGTGTTAAAATATAAAAGAAACGAGTCACTGTTTTAATTCAATAAATTTATTGTACAATATTATTATTAACTTGATCATATACGAACATTTGCAACTTTATACAATAAATATGAAAAGTGGAAATCTATGTTGGTCCTAACAATTGAAAATACATACATCACCATTCCTCATCTATACTCATTAAATTATTAATAGACAGTTGAAAGGGTAACAATGAACAAAAACAATAAAGGGCATCATATACATAAAAATATACACATTATACAACCCTAGTTAAGTATAAGCAGTATTGTACTAAAAAGGCTTCTCGACCCGACATTAATACTGTGTATAAATAATATCTAATAATCATGTACAAAAAGATCACAACCTATTCAAGAAAGAAAAGAGTTTTTCGATAAAGTATTATAATATAGGTAGTTTTAAAAAACTTACAAAAAGTATTACAAAAAAGTTACATAATAAAATGAATATACATTACAATGATTACACACGATTAGGGCAGTTTATAAGCAACTAAAACGAAAGTTCGTCTCACAATTGCACACTTGAAGAACTCGTGCTCTCATCCTCCGAATTACTTTCCGAAATCATGGCTTCACCGGCCAAGTGTTTTGGACTCGGCAACGCCTGGGCCCCGTTCTTCCTCCCAATCTCGCTCGGCAAGGCGGGCAGTTTCAAGTCGTCCTCGTCCAAATCCAGGTCTAAATCATCGTCTTGTGATTTATTATTAGGTGTGCTCGTGGCCCAAGACTCCACCTCCCCATTTCTGACTGATAACGATTGCGACCTGGCATATTCCGTCTTGTTTGAGGGCAAAATAGCACTCGCCGACGCACTTAGACTTAAGGCAAATTTCATCCGCGGTCGTTTGTTGGACGGCGATTTCGTGGGAGTGGTTTTGGGAGGAGTCGAGTTGCGAAAACTGCGCCTCACAATGCGCGATGCCACGATTTCGGGGCTTTCGTCCAGGTCAAGGACGTAACTCACCGAATCGGATTTCTCAACTACGCCCTTCACTTTCGGGGACGAGGGTGGGGACAAGTCGTCGTTTCGCGACTTCCATGGAGTGCTGGTTTTCTCTTGGAATGAGAGAGTGCGATCAAAGTTTTGTTTGGTTGAGTGGCGCTCGTTGAAACTTGCACTTAGCAAGGAACGGTTGAAGCTGGACTCTTCTGCGGCTTGCTCGAGGACTTTGCTCACGATTTCTTTGTTTTGCTTCAGTTTCCATTTGAGTTCTTCGTTGTGTTGACACAGTCTTTTATTTTGATTGATTTCTTCTTTAAAACTATCGTATAACTTCTTATTTTCGGCAATTAAGTTCCTAGAAAAATTAAACAACTTAAATGGAAGAAGATTCAGTGGCTTAAACTTACAGTTCCATTTCGTTTTTTATTTGCAATTGGAGCTGTAAATCCTCACATCTGGCACTGAGTGAAGCTGATCTTTCTTTAGCTGCGGCTAATGTTTCATTCTTTTGCTTCGCTTCAAATAAATCGCGGCGCAAATCGGCGACTTCTTTTTGTCTTAATTCTAGTACCACTCGAAGTGACTGAAGCTCCTATTTACGTGAAAAAATAAAATGATTAAATCTAACCATTTTTATATCAAAAGAGTAGGGCTGTATTAAAAAACTCTTTAAAAGAAAAAAAGGATTAACTTACGAGAGAAAAAAGGAATTAAATCAAAATCATATCAACTATCTATAATGTACGAGTATGTACCTAATAAATTAATATTGATGTATGTAGTTTTTCTTGAAAAATTATAAAACCAATCACATTATTTTATTCAGTCTTGCCAACTTAACTTTAAAATAATACTCGATTGAAATAGTAAATAGTTTTTTCGTTGATCTCTGCGGTATTACAGAAAAATTTTACCTGAATACTAGTGCCCTTATCCTTGATGTTGCTGTAGCTAAGCAGCCTTTCATTTTCCTCCTTTAACCTTGCGTTTTCTTCATTCATCGCATTCAACTTCTCTTCGAATTTTCCTTCAACCTTGCTCAACTCATTCTTCAATTTTTGATTCTCACATCTAACACTCTGTAGTTGCTCCTTGAGTTTTATCTCTTTGGCTTCATAGTCGTCTTTGAGTTTTCGACTCTCATGTTTGATTTCTTCAATTTGAGCATTCTTTTCGTCGATCTGTTCACGGATCGCATCGTTTTCTTCTCGTAAAATATCCAAAGACTCTTCATGCGTTTTTTGCAATCTTTGAAATTCTAATTTGAGAGTCAACAGTTTTTCTTCATTTTGTTTCTCTAAAACTGTCTTGTTGGCTTCGTTTTCTTCACAAAGACGCGATTCTAATTCGTATTGCTTATTATTCACTAGCAAAAAAAATAAAGTAGTAATGAAATTAACACGATTTCGATGCAACTTACGTTCTAATATCTCATTTCTATGCTTTTCGACTAATTCACTGATTTCATTCGCACATTTCACACGTTCATCTTCAATCAATCGACTTTTCTCGACCCTTTCTTCAGCTAGAGTGTCTTCCAATCGCTGACACGTCAACCTGATTTCTTCGGCTTCGTTTCGAAGCTTTTGGACTTGCTTTTTGAGGACAGGGACTTGATAAGCTTCAACCTTGTATAAAAGTGATTATATTATTTATTTTATAGAGATGTGAGGGGGGCAACTTACATTGAACACGAGGTGTTGGACGAGAACTGCAAGTGCTTCGGCTACTTTGGGGACAGGTTTCGAGGGGGCCCGCGTGTGAACTGGGGGCCGGACTACGGGCGACGTGCGACCCCCCTTCACAGTAGCTCTTCCACACTCTGCAAAAAAAATGTCATTAGCCATGAATGGACTGGGTTGTGGCAACATGTCTGTTACTTAATTCTTAATTAAATTATCGAGGAAATAATTAATGTGTCCGTGTTGTGCAAACAGTTATCAACGCATACCAAAAACGATTTTCTTTTCGAAATTTAACGGGAAATTCTGACTTCCGCTAAAACGTGTGCTTCCGTTTTTCAACTGATCTCAAGTCTTTTTAAAATAACACCCTTCAATGTTTCAAAATAACATAATTACAAGCGGATATCCCGCCTCGCACCGGAATACACTAGTTTGTCTTAAAAAACGCGAAATGTAAAGCAAATAACTGTCACTTTTACGACCTGACGGTGACATGTTTGTTATGGCCGAAACGTTAGAAGTGAATTTTTTTACTCGACTGTGCAGTTTCTTTGATGATGATTATCAAGAGATGTTTATTGCGATAAGTTTGCTAAATTAACCAACATGCAGACTCTCCTTTTATCTGTGATGATCGTATTGTGCATCACGAAGTCGGAGAAAATGCACATTCTCACGAACACAACGTTTTCATTTTTCCCCTCGATTTACCGTTAACTAAAAATATAATTAAACAGTTAACGAAGCAAAAGTAAAGTACTTCAGCTAAATTAACTCAAAATAATGCATCAATAGTAGTCCGAAACGAAATCGTGGCGTCTCGTTGACTTTCTTCTAATCAAGATAATGATATTAATTTAAAACAGAGCAAGACGTTCACTAAAATAATAAGCAAATGCTCTCGTTGAACAAAAATCTACCACTCGACCGGAAATGAATTATTGACGAGGAAGTGTATAAATTTTGGAAATAGATCTGTCTGAAACGTGGCAGTCGTTACTTTCGTTATTTTCGACACGCTCAATTTACTCTGTTTATGTTCATTGGATTTTCGGTGCATTTGCGCGGAATTGGGTCAAAAATAAAACGCATTTAACTCAATTTTGGTTTTATATGAAAAGTTGTAAGATTCCTTGATGGAAAAATTTAAGAAGAAATATTTTACCGGGTATGGCGAGATTTTACACACTGATAGGTTTTTAACTGAAGCATTCGGATTTTTAGGACGGAACGGATAACACAACAGAAGAATTTGAATAAAATTACATAACATTTTCGTAACAAATCGTAGACAACGGATCATACAATTAATTGTTGAAATCCTTAGAAAAAATAACTGACATGATTGTAGTAACGTTATTCAAATTATTGTTGAGGTAGATGATCGTTTATGATTATGAAACCACTTATGCAAAATCATTTTGTTCAATTTTATTAAATAAAAAAACATTTCACAGCCATTTCGGCCATTTACCTACCGTGTAAATATTAATTTTAATTCTTTTCTGTAGAATTTGACACAAAATTTTTAAGACTATCTTTGGGATTTATTATCATTCCGGTGATGTCAATTTATAGTTGCAATTTTTTATATAAATTCAGTGTCCTAGCAATAATCGAAAAAATACAGCTTTTGCTAAGTAAAGATAATAGTAATAATAACCTGGTGCCAAAAATTTTGGGATATTGTCAAAACGCTTACTAGAAAATAAACTTTATTTTAATTATTAATTATTTTATTATGCAAAATTTTTTTGCTAAAATTCTTTGAATTCCGAAATTAGTAAGAACCAGGTGTAAATAAAAAAAAAATATTTATATTTTTAATAAACATAGGCATAATTATATATATTTTTTTGATTTTTACAATTAGGTATTTGACTGAAAATTGAAATGACATGAAATTAAACTTCCAATAAAGTAATATCCTATTTATTACTGTTTGTTTAGCTACCCATCTATTCTAATATAATCCAAATTGACCAGCTAAAAAGTATTTTTACAGCTTCTGCTAATTACAACCTGTCAAAATAGATTGATACCACACACAAATTCAGTCATATTTAGGTCGGATAGTAAAACGGAAATTAATTAATTTTAAGTAGAAATTCTTGTTATTTAGGGAAAATATGATCACGAAGTCAATTATTTTTGGATTCTCTTCAAAATGACACTCTGTTGTCCTCTAATTCATGATTTCTCTTCCTCTTCGTGTGATAGAAGCAGGATATCTTATTAAGTTAATTAGCCATATCGCATCTGTCGCCGTACTAATAGGTTAACAACAATAATAACGATTTTCTAAAACGAGAAAATTTTTAACGCTTCCACCTCCTGAGGGACGCAACAATAAGCCTTATATGTCAATAAACTTCTTCGTCGAACAGTCGTAAACACTGAATTTGTCGTAAGAACTAACAAAATCTGTAAATTCGAACATATTAGGTAATAATTTCGACAAGATATCGCTTTCGTTTGGGAAAACATCAAGATCGAATAAATTTGAAGCTTTTGCGTCACTGCCGCTAATAAAAGCCACACTTTTCCTTACGTAATTCATTTATGTATTTATAGAAAGCTCCCGTCGCCAAGTTCAAAGCGATTGTACACTAGTTTGTTTTCAAAAATTTATGATAATTTCGAAACTTCCGGTGTGAAATGTTCATCATTGATGCTTTCTTCCCTCGATTCAAACGAGTTAAAGTCGGCGTTTTTTTGCGAAAAATGCCACAAACGAACCTTGACGACAGGAAATTACAAAGTGTCGTTTGTGCAAAAAAACAACAATCGATGCGACCACAAATTACCCACACGATAAATAAAGAAATTCGCAATTTCTCGATCGGTGAAGTAAACACATAACATAATTTTTGGCGGTGGGCCAGACGGGTTAGTGGGTCAAATTTAAATACTTGCGCCCTGTAATTACTATTTGTTGAGGTAATGATAATAAATCAATTAGAAGAGGAGAGACATAAATAATAATGTTGTGTAATGCAAGGTGGGTGTTAAATATTGTCACGATTCTTTTAAACACACAATGAACGCGAGGAATTTACGATAAAGATCGGTGTCTGAGTGTCGTCACGACATGGAAAAAAGCACAAGGCCGGTGAAAAAGACACTCACCTGTGTCATCAACGTACATTACATCCGACTATGCGAAAAAACTACTCAAACTACTCGAATTCAGAACAGTTTTGCATTATCTTCGGCTCGTTTAGCCGCACTTCCATATACCGCTAATTCTCACCATTCGTCGTGTGAAATCTGTCTTCCTGCAACGTGCAGGATACTCGATGATACAATAACAAACACAAAATCGCTCCCAGAAGGGATTTAATTCTATTTACTGATCTTCACGCCGATAAATCATCATTAAAATGTGTTTGTTTTAATTTTCATATAATTGCTTTTGATTCACGCACTGCTGGAAAAATCGAGATGTGGAGGAGTTGGGATTCTAGAATAACGTTTTGCAAGTTTGCCAGCCGTAGAGGAACTGAGTTCGAAAGGAATATTAAGTTTAGTTTGCGTGCAGAAACAGAGACGGACGCGAAAAAAATAAGGGCCCGCTCGTTCACCTTTGCCAGATTTGCATTCGTAGTTCTGGTGAACTTGAATTGTAATGAAATTTGAATAACAAATCGTTTCTAAGAGTAATAAAACACCTAAAAGCCTTATTTCGGCGAAATTTCTAAGTGTAATAAATTGCCATTTTTGCACGGCAACAATAAGAGAAAGAAAGATAGGAACTTCTCATATTTTATGTTATTATTTCATACAATAGACAATTAAGAATTTACATTTAATTCATCTTTTTGCTACAGCTTTACGGAAAAAATAAATTAAAAACAGTTAGAAACATTAATAGTAATGTAGGCAAAAATAGAGCATGAAGGAGTGTCCTAATAACAATTTTTTTAAAGTAATTTATTAAAATAAAAGCAAATCACTAATCAATAATGAACCGTTAGCTCAACTAGGACGTGCCTATACTAGCAATAGGGCCAGGTCAAGACCAGGAAGTAATATACAGGATATCTCAATAATTATGCGTGAATAAAGAAATGAATTAAATGATTATTTTTATTACTAAAAAAATCCTAGGCAATTGTGGTATTAATAAACAATTCTTGAAATCAATTTTATATTTCATTAATTTTTTATTATGAACGGCTGAAAATTAATTAATTAATTTTAGAATCACAGACGTACAGACATATATAATATTTAAAAATTCGATTAAAACTTACATTTTTAGTTTTTGTTATAAAAAGTGTCACGAAAATGTTGGTGTGCCAAAAAGTTAAACCAAAGCGAATATTTTTGTTACAAAGTTAAAAATATTTGTTTTAGCGTGTAAATTTTCTGGCCTCGTGAAATTCCAGAAAATGCCCAATTTGTGGTAATTTTGGCCTAACGAAAACATTATACATACATCAATCCACCTCTTGGCAAAAGTAAGAAAATTAAATTAAAACAGAATTAGTTTCCAGAGTCCAATTTTTTTTTCAGTGAAAATAATAATAATTAGTCAATTACTTAAACTTAATTGACAAATAACGAAGCTTTTTTTAAATGATTTCAGTTGTTTTTCACTAAAAAATTGTTTTCATTAGTTTAAACATCAAATTTTAAGCGGTTTTGGAAAATTTTAAATAATATGTATATTATTTTATAATTTTGTTTTGAGATTCCTAACCTTAAAAAATAAGAAATTTTAAAAGGAATTCATACATTGGCGCAAATTTTGCCACCTATATACATTTATCTGATCTGCTAGTTTTGCAGTTTATTATATAACAAATTAGAAACTTGTAATATTACTGAAAATCTGCTAAAACATAAACAAACCCACGTTTATTTATTACACCACTTATACCCATATCAAGATATGCAAAATGTTACTTTGCACAACATCTGACATATATCGCCAAAAATAATCTTTGAAAACTGTGCTTTGCAATTAATAAAAAAATTAAACCCAACTTCCGAGTCTTTGAGTATTCTCGATGCAAATTTTCTTATATAATAATTAACATGTCAGGGAAGGCAACACGCGAGCAAGAACGTCAATTTCCATAAAATCTCAATCTCTTTTAGCGTTGAAGCATCCTAGTGTAAACACAGCAGA